CTTGACACATGTTAATGTTTTAAGTGTTCATTATTGTGCATTGTCCCTGCCAAATAAACAATTAAATTAAATATGAAAGTATTGCATTAATCAATTTAAAATAAATGTATTGGTAAATAATAATAACCAAGCTATTGGAAAGTTTAATTAATAACAATGTATATTCACGCCTGATATTGATTTAACCATATCACACAACACTCTTTCTCTCCAACATCGCCGGAGATTTTAAAGCTGAGATGAGCCGAGTTATTGCTCATCTCACCTTTATAGGTTCAACTAAATGATGGCATACAGAAAGTAGATGATTATACTCTATCAACCTGTTGCTTTGTCCTGAATGTACGGAGTGTATTCAGGCTGTATTTTAACCGCCTGCGTGCACAAACATCTGCAAAACTTTGCCAAAATGTGGGTAATGTCCGCAGTAATGACTCTTACATGTCTAATATGTGTAATGTGTACTTGTAAAGCGCTTTGAGCACCTGTAAAAGCGCTCTAATAAAAAAATGTAATGCATTATTATTATTAAAATAAATGGCTAAATCACAACATCCTGTGTGCATGCTGGTTTGTAAGTGATTAAGGCTGCCCACTAGCAGGAGGGGCAGATTTCATGAACATCTGCTACTGACACACGCACACTCACATCGCAGCATATAAAGCGAGAGGAGGGAGTGGGTGGAAAGGAAACAGCTCAGGCACATGCTTCTTTGTGACATTTACATGTATTTGTGTTTACCTGTACTGTACATATGCAATCACAACTGCATACACATATAAACACACACATACACTCAGCGTGATGTTCAAAAAATAAAGCAACATATGCCCACACACACCTTTGGCAAGATTGCCAAAGGTGTGTGTGTTTTTGAGGAAAGTAAATAATTAAAAAACTTAGCAGAAGTCCTTGTAAGCTAACCTCCCTATGCCGGGAGACACAAACACACACCCAGCCCACATTTATTTGACCCTCCAGCACATTTGCAAATATCTTTTGAGTCTTTTAGAAATTCCAAGATTCTGGGTACACAATTGGGGTATGGGCCAAATTCTTGCTCAATACTTGGGTTTGACTCTTACTCGAGCATCTTTCAACATAGCTGCATGAGAGAAATCGATTAGTGATAATATCTAAGAATTGGGTTATGATTCAATGATATTATGGATGGTGTGATGCCCCTGTGGGTTAATCTGGAGAGGGTGTGGCTGTACTGTGTCCAGCCTTGATTGCAGTAACTCAGGGCACCTGCGTCTGGTGCCCTGCAGCTATTTAAAGCCTCTGCTCCTCTCTGCTTTTCCCTACAGGCCCCCGGTTTTGTTGAGTATATGCTGTTGTTACTTTACTTTGTGCACCTCAACACCCTCACACATACACGTCCATGCAACCCTCGCCCTGCATTTACACTACTGATACCACTGACGTCCACACCTCATGCTTTACTTATTATTGCACTTCATTAAATGTGGCTAATTTGAATTGTTTGGTTAAATAAACATCTTTTATTAATCGTTGATATGGTGTGTCTCCTCTTTGTTGTGGCCTTTTGAGCCAGGTCATAACAGATGGCAAAATACCCAGGTTCACTATGGTGTCCTATTTCTTAAATGTAAAACGATTCAGGTAGCAGCCTCATCAGTCAGTTAAAATGCACCACAACGTGTCAAATTAACACATACATTTCTGATTGATGTTGGGACACACTAAATTGCCTAAAGTGATTTGTAGAGTTAAAATGTAGTAAGGTTACCCGATACCTAGCCGGTTTGATTAAGTTGCTAGTAGCATTACAATCTCATTCCAAACTGTAAGAGGTTGACTTGAATTATGGGTAATGTAGGCCAAAAGATCTGAAAGAGAAGTAGGATGCATAATATATAAAAGACGATGTATTTTGTTGCCCTACATGGTCAAAGAATGAAGACAATGAAAGAGCAAAACAACATGGGTTAATCTGTTAATAACTCTAGTACGACAATAACTTTTTTTTAGTAAAATACTATGGATTGTTTTACAGCAAAACTATTTCGACAACAATTGCTATAGGAAAACTACTGCCTAAGCAGAATTCCATCTTGGAGACAATTAGATTTATAAAATACTGTATACCTATTTCATTTACTTTATCTTTCATCCCTCCTTCCTTTCCTCTCCTCTCACCCAACTCTTCTATCTTACTGTCTCTCCTTTCTTATTGCACACTTCCCTTCGTTGTTCCCATCCCCCCACTTCTCTCTGAGATGAGGACTGTCAGCGAGGCCATATATTTGACACAGTGCACCAAGGACTCCACACTCGCACCACATATATCCAATCTACAAAACAGTGTTCACTTATAGGGCAGCGGATCTGAGGGGAGTGGGAGATGGGAGTCGGCTGGGCGTTGATGAGTCCATCACACATGTTATATAAGACAGTGACAAGGATTTTAAACATACATCTTTAACCATATGGAAAATACTGTACTGTCAACACCAGCTCTATGAGTATCACTGGATCCCTGTACACCCCCAAGCAACTACCCAGATCCCTAGTTGGCATTTGAAATAGCGTTTTTGGTTTTAGTTCAACCAACTGTTGAAAAGCTATGAGTTTTTAATTTAGCAATTGTATTAACCGGAGAAAAAAGCAGCCAGCTCTTACATTTGTTAAGCTGGAAAAAGAAAATGTTTCGCATGTGTAATACAAATATGACTTATATGTGTTTTTGTTATATATTTCTATCAATCGCATTATCAACTAATACATTCAAGCACATCTGATTTACGGACATAAGCTCAGGCTGAAATCATGTGATGGTAAGAACCCTTTTAAACATAAATGAGTGAACATTTAGAGCGTTTTGAACACACCATTGAAATTAACTATCCACAGCAATGGATTTCATTCTGTTATTGGATGGTTACAATATTTGGCTCATGCTGACATGGTAATTCATATTTTCTGTTATACTCCTGGATCACTGTGTTACCTCCACAAATAATCTTTCTGCTTCAACTGTTTCACTAGCAGTCAGTTACTCATAACATGCTTTTACAGTATGTCAAAGACCCTGAACTACTCCTTTAAATTCATGTGGCACATTCAGCAGGGCATGCTTCATGCAGCTCTGCTCTGCTCAGGCTCACTAAACATATCACACTTGTTCTGACACATGAATAATGTGGAAAATACAAAGAGAGAGGGAAAAGAGACAGAGAGAGAAAGAAATTCCACTTCTGTTCCTTCACCTGATCCAAGTGACTTTTCCTCTCACTCCCCTGTGTCTCTCAATCGCACAAACACCATGCAGTCACACACACACACACACACACACACACACACACACACACACACACACACACACACACACACACACACACACACACACACACACACACACACACACACACACACACACACACACACACACACACACACACACACACACACACACACACACACACACACACACACACACACACACACACACACACACACACACACACACACACACACACACACACACACACACACACACCACACACACACACACACACACACACACACACACACACACACACACACACACACACACACACACACACACACACACACACACACACACACACAGGAACTGGTTCTCCTTGGCAATCTGCCTCTTTCAAGATTTGTGGGTGCTACAACCCTGAAGAAAAACACCATCAGCTACTTCAACACTCCCTCATGAAGGCTTGCGTGCTGACACAAGTGATGAATGTCACTTCAGAGTAGGAGTCAAAAAGGTCTTAAGTTATAAACAGTGAAGACACTTTGTGGTCTTTTGACGAGAAACATGCATGCAAAGTTATTGCGTTAAATCCAAACATAAAACAGACTGATGTGCTCGGAACGTAACTATTTGACTTGGTTGGATTAGTTGTTACTCTTGTTTACATTAAGAACATACATAACACAGGTGTTAAGGCTGAGGACGTTGACTGTACAAAAGTATATTGTCCGCTGGAAATTGTGATTGTTATCATGTTGTTCATGAAAATGTATGCTGCAAGAAGATATGGACAAAGGAAAAAGCAAAGTCACAACAGATGCTGCCGGATAAAGGCAAAACATATGTGCATATCAATGCATTGCTCTGAGAAGTGAAAATATCAAATCATTTGGTGGTAGAAGAAAATGTTAAACTATAATGCAAAACTGGTATTCATGGGAAATAACCTATCAACAGAAAGTAATCTTGTTTTCTAATTTGACCTATATCCTTTATCCTTTAATTTACACACTTGTAATGTTAGAACAAATGCATGAATAAGGTAAAAAGATGGATTAATCTGAGTGGGAAATATGGAAGCTTGTGCACAGTATCTCTTCTTGTTGCAAGAACAGCAATAGAAGGTACTAGCCCCATTCAGCTTTTGAGAGAACGCACAGACATGGTGTTGTTTTTCAGTCAATGCAGCTCATCAGAAAACATTGACACAAGCATGTTTGTCACACATGTTGTAAAGACAACAGCACAACCAAATTTAGCAGCTACATTTTGCAATGTTGTGAACTGCTGTGGCCAAACAACAATTGAGCCTTATATTAGATTAGTATGGATCCCTGCTTACATCAATGAGACAGTATGAATGGAGTTTGAAAATCACAAGCGAGCTTATTAACTCAATAAGAGAGAAAAACATTAAATTAATGAAAAACAGGCTGTTTTCAAAACTATATCGTAAATGTGGGACCTATTTACATACACGTTTGTATTAATGTTTGTAATAGAGATGTGGCTTTTATACTGTATTCATGAACACCATATTAACAAATAGTGAGGTAAATAAAGGTCGACATGGACAACGTAGGGCATCAGACAGTTATTATGACCAAACTATAACGTAACGCACATTTTAAAAGTGCGACGCTCAGTACAAACTAAATTAATTCGCACAAGCGACGCAAAAAAAACAGAAAACTAAGTGAGCCAGGCTACTTTTACTTCAGTTTCCCAAACTACCGTGTAGCCTACCTGGTTAGTGGTGTCAGGCGGCAGATTCTTAATGAGGATTTTCCTCCTGTTGCTCAGCTCCTGGCGAGTTTTGGCCAGCCTCTTCTCGATCTCCTCCGGCTCCAGCTCCGGCAGGTCGCGGAGGCACATCTCAGAGTCCGACGGCCGCGCTGCTGCGGCCGCCGCCTCCTCGTCCTCCGGCTGCCGGGTCTCTGGGCTGTCCATCCCCGGGGAAAGTGTGCCGTCCCCGGCAAGAGAAGAGTGAACGCTCGGCGGTTGGATGGATGACGCTGCCGCCATCTTGGGTAGCTGAGTGAAAAGTGAGTGTGAGGGAAGTGAGTGAGTGAGAGAGACAGAGAGAGGGGGAGAGAGAGCAGGTGGGAGGTGTGTCCGTAAAAGAGAGAGCCCCCATTGCAAAGAAAAGCTTAATTAATTGAGTCAAGTCAACTTCCCTCAGTAGCCTATGCCTTATTCTTGGAGTCAAACATTCATTTAATTATGCATTTCTATATTTCCCGGCGTCATCAACTTGCGAAATGTTCCTTTGGTTTGTTTGGTTGCTAGTTATTCTGTTTTATTGGATGATGTGCAGTTTTTGTAAGAAAACTGTTTACCTGCATTGTATTCCTTTACAATCATTTTGCATTCGTTTAAAGGTAAAATGTGCAGGATGCAGTCAGTTCATGATACAAAATGTTTAAAGGGGCACTTTGCGGCTCACGTGCTGTCTAGCATGTCAATGTCATGCAGCACCTCGCGGACTCCTGGCGACCCCAACCGTCTGCTGGATGTATGGAAGCCAATTAAGATCCGTTACAATCACCAGCAGTCCACACAGTTTGTTCAGTTCGTGTATATTTAGTGTTGACACCAGAAGCTGCTTGATTCTGGCATCAATGAATTACTCCACTTCAATCATGTAATCAACAGGTTTTACAGGAGAGCATATCAACATCCACATGTTGAATCTTACAAGTCTTTTATGGTGTTTGAACTGTGAACAATACAGTAAAGAGAGACATTTGCTGTTAAATAAGAGCACAAGCCTAAGCATTAGGTCTTATTTTTGTTGTGAAGCCCAATTAACACATTGATTATTTTGCTCGAAGACTGAAAGAGAGAGAGACATTCACTGTAGAATATCTCTACACCACTATAGCGTTCCTGTGACTGAGCATAATGTGACCATGAATGGCTGTGTTCCTTCCCTCCTTTCTACCCAAGTCATCCAGTGAATGCCAAACTAGCAGCTAACCGAGCCCGCCTGCCTGCCCACCGTGGGTGGAAAGCTGCTCCTGGCAAACACAAAGGGAACAGAGCTCCCTGCCGAGTCTTCACAATGCCTATGTAGCTTCCGCAGGCTCATGAGTGGCTGATAGGCACGCAAACACACGGTAAACTCACACTCCTGTAGGCCCACAAACATGTCAGCTATTGCACACTTCAAACCACTAAAGGAAATATTTAGAGCGTGATTATGCTGAAGCCTTTAAGATATGGTGAAATCTAGCTCCTATCATCCAACCTCCATGTTCTCTCTCTCACCATCTGTGTGAAGCGTTTCTTGGCAGATTGCAGTCCAGACACTCACAGTTGTCAGTGGGTGAAAATGATCTCACATTGCCAAGTGGCTGAAGCAGTGGAACTGTCACACACCAGTATATGGACCGTTTGTATGAACGTTTTAATCAAGCTTACGCTCAGTAGAGCCAACTGCTAAATGAAAAGCAAATAAAGGCTGACAAAAGCTCTTTCAACATGGTGAGGGACGTATTCGATCTCTAAAAACTATACCAGTTTTCACTTTATTATTTCTCTTCTGATCTGAGGCTGTTTTCTCTTAAAACTAATCTGTTTATTACATGAGCTACACATCACAAACTAATGTCCCACTGCAAATCAAAAGGTGGGAAATGCCCTTGACCAGCATCCATCCAATGAATATGGAAGACATGTTTTATGTCAAATTAAAATCTGCTAAAAAAGGAATTTACACATGAAAGGCATTGAGTAGAAGTCCGTTTTTAATCTAACTGCCGCTCATACAATAGGCCTTCTGACAGATTGTGGGACATGAATCATTGAGCAGTGGTTCTCTGAAACGACAGCAAGGACTTGCTTGTCACTCGCACAGGCTGATTTTGGGAACGCATGAATCACTCCACTAAGTGCTAAACAACGTTTCCATGAGAGAACAATTAATTTGTTCTTTCGGTCCCTCTGGAACGAAAGTATCTCGTATTAACACTCACAGACACACTTTAACACACACACTCACAGACACACTTTAACACACATACTCACACACACACTTTAAATACACACACACACACACACACACATTAACTTGTGTCAGCCTGCAGCAAAGTTAAGTTGCTCAAACTCTGTATCTTTCATAGCCTTGTACCTATGTGCAAGTCAAACCCCACGATAATGGGCTATGCTCTACAATCCAAGGGAAAAGGAGATGTAAGTCTCTCTCCATGTAGAAACACAAGAGCCATGCTAGTGCTTCAGCGTGTCAGCCAGTGATTCACAGCCTTTTGGAGTGGGTGGGAGTAGAGAGGAGAAAAAGAAAGCGGGGAAAACGCTTGCCACTGCTTGCTGGGACTGAGAGTGTGATGGTGTGGGTGGGCAGAGTGGCTGAGCGGGCAGAGCAGGCACCTGGGATGAGCTCAGTAGGCGTGAGGATCGGAAGGGGGATTTGAACCCTACATGGAAAAGTGGTTGATTGCGCGTGGGAGTTGACAGAGATCATATACACGTGTGCATATCCAGTATGATAGTGCAGTGTGATTATCGACATCTCGCTCTGTAAATCCTGGAAAAATGGATTGTAGACTCTCCCTACATTCATGAGCTGGTGCTGTGCTATCATAAATATCACATATGGAGTCTGGTGGTGTTGCTTCCTTTTTCTTCTAGCATAGAAACGATTAAGGACATTGTGACCTAGTAAAAACTGCTGACCTGAACCCACAGGAGAACGTGCATATTAGATCCCTGCCCAATTCATGTCCTAATTACAATGGTCAGACGCATCCCTGTTCACCAGTGCTTCAGGGAAGTTACTTTTTTGTGGCCAGTAAGTGAATCAGTAATGAGAATTTTGCATACTTTAACATGAATTCAATTAACCCTAGCATAACTCATGTTGCTTTTTCTTTTTTTGGTCCTTCTAAAAAGGCCCAGATTTCAGTTTGTAATACTGTAAAGTTGTATCTTTGAACAGAACATCACATTTCTCAACAAACTTCCTCCAAGGAGATTTTGCTGTTAGATTCAAGTTCTGTCACTTTTTGCACATGTTCACATATTTTCAGTAAAACCCACATGATGCGTTGAAAAGCATTGTCTGACATTTTCATCGTCTGATTTTAATGTGCTCTAAATTGCTTTCATGCAAGACTTAAAATGATCATACTGCTTAGATGCATTTGGGAAACTGGTACTCTGGACTGCACAAAATATGCAGCTTGTGCATGTCTGCTGTACTAGTTGGCAGAGGGAAGACTGACTGAAAAGACCCGAGGGTGCTTGGACTCGAGCTCAGTGCTCTAATTCACAGCGTTTCCCTGGCAGGTAGCGGCAGACAGTTGGGCAGGAAGAGGGAGAAAAGCAGAGATCAAGAGAATAGTGAAAAAGAGACGGACAGGGCCATGTCGAGAGGTATGAATGAATGCAGACAAACTGATAAGGTTTATGGGGCGTTTGGACAGGCGGACTGACAGCCATGAGGAAAGAGTTGCTTCTCTCCTTCAGCTATCCAAATGCTGAACTACTTCCCAGCTGATGCTCATTAAACTGAGACCCCGGCAGGCACCTCTCCATTTTCACCTCAAGGAGAAACTGTTTACTTAGCCTCACTCTATGACCTTCTCTTAAAATAGACAGAGATAGCCACCTACCCAGTCTATAATTCATTATTCAAATGTGATATCACAAAAGATACGATCAGATGAAAGGTTTAAAGACTGACCTTGCAAAATCAGATGCAAATAACTCCTTCTGTATACTACAAACACAACACAAACAAAAAACACAAGAGTCCTTTGGTTGTTCCTTACATGTATGTTATCAAGAATCCAACCATAATCAACTCTGTGTGCCAATCCGCAGAACAATTATCAAAGTTTGCCAAATATGATCAAATAATACATTAGTTTGGTCAGAATATGACACAAATTAGAGGGAAGAGAGATTTTACAAAGGATAATGCCTGCGCCGACTCACTTAGGAACAATAACAGCACACATATAGTTATATACTGTAAACATATTCTGTTCTAAGGTACCATAAAAAGAGACAATACTGGTACTGCATACAGAAACCTGCAATTAATTTGGGCTTGAAACATTAAGTACACATTAAACCAAAATACATCCATATTTTTTCAAAAATCATGACACCACTATATATTCCAGGGTTCTTACGGTCATTAAAAACCTGGAAAAGTCATGGAAATTCAAAATGCAAATTCCAGGCCCTGGAAAAGTTATGGAAAACAATATTTTTTGCAAAGTTTTGGAAAAGTCATGGAATTGTAACTAAAGTTGCATCAAATAATAATTAATATTTTAGCTAATCGCCGAAATAGTAATACTATAATGATAATAAATACTGTATCGTATAGTAATGAAACATAAAATGGCATTTAACTGTTGAGGTATTTTGCTGCTGAGAGATTTTATTTGCTTTAGCCTGTAGAAGCTAGTAAGCCTACTATTGGATTTGTTTTAGATAGGCACAACATGTTTTATATGCAGACCTTATTTTCCTGTTCCATGTTAAAATAAACCATTTTCAGTGGTACCGCTGAGAAAGAGTAATTTGGTCATGGAAAATTAGGTAAAGGTCATGGAAAAGTCATTGAAAATCATTGGTGAAAAAGTATATGAACCCTGATATTCGTGACCATTGTTTCCTTAATTACAGAACATGTCACCCAGTGGAACAGTATGTCTTATTGATATGTCTGAATAAGCTTAGGGTCTTTTCAAAGGGATTTCATGACAGAAGTAAAAATACAATACCATTCAAAGTAAAAATGGTGCATCTAACTTTGTGACAAAACAAAAGTTAGATACACGCTTTGTGGTTAAACATATTTAAATGTGAAATTAACATATTTCACATTTAAATAGGTTACATTTTAAATGTTTTTTTCATTCAAATCTACTAGAATATGACACACTATCCCCCCCTAAAAAAGCTCCCTCTGAAAATGATTGTGACCATGTTGTCTCTCCATCTGTGGTAGATTCCCCGTTCCCCTGGCAGGAAACCCTGTATGTACAGAAAGGCCTCGTAAATAAATGATCCGATCTTCCAGGCAGTATGTACTGCTATTCACCCACAAATGGCATGACCTACAGCCAACAGCATGACACACATTGAAAAACACACGTAACAGATTGTGACTGAAAGCCCTTTTACCCTGAAATACTTTGAAAGTAGGGGTCAAGTTTCTTAGACAAAAGTTGTGGTGCTTTTGCAAAACCGGAACACATAGTTACTCAAGGTAATTTCATCCTGGATTAACAAACTGCTTTCTGATTTCCAAATGAGCTAGATGAAAATAAACAGGATTATTTGAGCCTGATAATAGTGTGTTAGCCCTGAAGTGCCATATACCTTACTGTTTAAATGACTGATAACAGCACAGCCACAGTGTACTGTGTATATTTGTAGATGTATGTATGCATGTAGATTTACCTTATATAAAAAAGGAGGGCAAAACAATTGAGCAGCAAATAAATACAAAAACAGGGAACTTTAAGTGTAAAATTGATTTTATCACATTCATATTGCAATAAATCTCAATTTGATAACTTTATATGATACATGAGGGGGGTGATGTACACATTTTCCTTCAGTACATTATTTAATGCGTTTCAGAGTGTTTTGTATACACACACACACGCACACACACATTTACTCATTTAAAACAGCTGGTAAATACTGTTTAAAATGTATCCAGAAAAAAATGCCTTTAAAAACAAACTCAATTTGGAAAAAAGAATTTGCCCCAACACACAAACAAATCAAAATATATGCTCTGAAATGCTACAAAACTGCTTCAATGTCTTGTTCCACAACAATTATGTACCATGTGAAGTGGTGAGAAGAAAACATTTACCTAACTTGTGTTAAAAAAAAATGGTTTTGAAATGGTTATACGGTCAAACTTGCTTCAGTAAATGGGCAAATGGTACAGTCGCAGGATAAACCCTTCTGTTATCCAGGTCTTCAGTGGAATATAAGCTATTTTTCCACTGCAATTATATCAAGAACAGTAGAAGCCCACTTTAACACGATTGGGCTATAATAACACCACTTTGCGTTAACCTCTATGTTATATCAGGTGTCAAATTATTCAGCACTTTTGCCGCTTGAAGTTTAATGAGCTCACATTAGATGTGCTAATGTATATATTCTACTAAAGTGGCAAGCATACTCAAGAAACATCACATGAATATGACTGTTTTAAGTAGCAACAGAAACAGCCCGGAGTCTAAATTATTTTGTGGAGCGATAAGCTTTTTTATAAAACATTATTTAGAAGGGAGATAAAACTTTAGAATCTAGAAGTCTCTCAAACATATAAAGTTTGTGTATAATTTTTCCAAGTACTGACTTCCATCCAATATGGACCTAAACAAATTAATCTAAAAGAACATCCAAGGCATCAAAAATATAGTGAGAAACCATGAACAGACAGTAAAATGTCAAAACCCAATATCTGAGCATCATTTGAAGCATAACTCATGTTTCACCAACATAAAAAAAATGGAGTGTACAGGACATCGATAGCTATTTGTGATTCTGTATTTACACTTCACAATGAATCTCTGAAAAACAATAGACATTTTTGACAACAGAAATAAATGGATATCACACTGAGGCTATCTTGACCAGTTGTGTGCACAAAGCACAGATCAGGTCACGTGGCTCTTCATCAGAATACAAATAAGTGGATTTCTCAATCAGAATAATTTCACCTAAAATTCTCTAATACTATCTTGAAAAATACAATAATGCATTCAATGAAAATGTTCCAGGTTGATAATCATTCTCTCTTCATGCTCTCACACATACACACTCACACACACATGTAACAGTTAAACCAGAGACTTGTAGAAAATACATTTTGAGTGGTTAACCACAGAGGATCTGACAGATGGTGTAACCTCTGTACAACAACAGCAGCATCTCTCCCTCTTTCACTGTCTTCAATGAGAGGGAGACTCCATCTTGGGCATCACTGGAAATTAAGCTTGCTTTGCACCAAATCCAGCACACAACTTAACATACATACAGTATTATCTCTGCCACAAAGGGGCATAAAGTCAAAAAGTTGTCGTTGATTCGGAGCGGGGGGGGGCAGCTTTCAGTACTGGTTTTTCTACTCAAGCAGACAGAGGGGACAGCAGTCAGTCTCTCTGAATCAGACCTTTGTGAGGATCCCCAATTATCCTCACAAACCAAATCTCCAGCAGGGACTAAAGCTAGGAGGGTACTAGTTTCTCTTTTCCCTCTTCAATCCCCGATAGGTTTACAAAGGCCTCCTGATACAGAGGACATGTCCAGAATGGCGATGTTCGGCACAGCAAGTCTTACCTTAACAGTAAAGCAAATACTTCCGAAATGTGAGAACAAAAATTAAAATGTGATATATGTTAAAAATCACATCTCCAGGGTAAGATTAAAGGATCACTGTTTTTTACCAATTTAAAAATGAATACCAGTTTTTTGTTGTAAGGAGAATATCTGATTTAGATTTGAGATACCTGCTCATCCAAAAAGTTCCCTGCTTAAAGAAAACCCAGGCCCAACACCAAATAGTAAATGGGATCATCTGGTGGAGAGGATAGCTCAGAATATGCCAAAAGAAAGTTAAGAGAGAAATTGAAATAGATTCCAAATGCACTTCTGATTATGCGCCAGGGTCCTGTGAAAAATAAAGAAACAAAACATGTGTTCACACCGTCTGATATTCTATAATGTCCAAATAAAATAAAAAAGCAAGCCACGTGCTTTTAGGGAAATGCAAGGAGAAACTAATGAGCCCTAACTATGATGCATTGTTTATAGGAAGTGGGTTGATAAGCATCACTTATCTTTCTTGTTTGTTATCTGTAGCTGCTTACTCATCTGTCATTGAAAATGTTGCTCCTTAATAAATAGTAGAAAAATATTTTTTTCCTCTTAATTTGTTTTCCTTCTTGTATTGATTTGAATCATTGAAGTTTTTTTTTTCTGCACTTCACAGAGACTCCTCATTAGTCTTCAGAGAAAACCAACTGTTGAGTGACAATGGGAGAGTAAAACTGCAATATTATCCATAATAGAATCTCATATTAGATCCCAGTCTTTGTACTCTTCATCTGAGACGTTTTCACCACAAGTAGGCTTAGGGGCGAGGCGGGAATGAAGCATTCGGGCAAAAGAGTTCAATCAGCATCAAGATTTCATTTGTTAATTGGATTCTCCTCTAGTCCTATACAGTCTTTGCTCTGGCTTGAAAATGAAGAACTCTGTACTCCCTCAAGGATGTTAGGTTCCAGTTGTTTCCCGAATGGCAAATCCCTTCAGAAAACACACAAAGATTCCAGTTTGGGTATTTTTACCAGCCCAGTTCTGGTCATTTGTGAGTTAGGCTGTGTACACTAACCAGATCTTGGACTGGGTTGAAAAAAAAAGTTGAGATGAGACCATGAGGCTTACACCCATTACACGCTAAACATCCATTCATGGCAGAGATCCCAGCGATCCATAGACGCTGCGAGTCCAGCTTCTCTCTCCCTCCGTCCATCCTGACAGTACCTACTGCGTGCTGTCTATTCAAGCACTAATGTTTTTCTTAAAAATAGTCTTTAATACAAAAATGTCCCTTCCCCGCAGGATCAGCACTCTGCGTCCACACTGTGCACGGTGACTGCCGCCTGCAGGTGGTGTGTGTGCGTGTGCAGCGGGTAGTGGTGTGTGTGCGTGTGCCGGTAAGGGTGAAACTTGTGGCTGAGCAACGCCGCCGTCTGAGGTGGCGTGTCTAGGTCGAGGTCGTCGTCGTGGTTACCGACATCCACACCTGCCGAGAGCGGGTCATTGTTCCCAGGTGGATTCTCACTGTCCTCCTGCGGACTCATGGTGCTGTAGCCTGGAGACAAAGAAACATGTTGGTATTACTGCAAACTGTTATCCCTCTTACAACTCTTTTCCCAAACTAAAACTTATAGATGGTTGGTAAGAATCTTTTCAGTTCGATGCGCCCTGTTGTAGCCCAGGCTTTTCAAACTTTGAATCAGGTAATGTGTAAACTCAACTAATGTTTGGATAAGGCAACATCAAGTTTGTAAAACTGATATTTGCCTCGCATCTACAGACACCTGGTATCAAGCTTTTGCACTCAACAGGTGGACGACAGGATTCAGGTGGGAGGAAAGAATGCAGAAACCTGCGTTTTACATCAAACATTTCAACATGCCTTCCAAATTCCTAGTGTTTTGGTTGCTACTGTTGACATCATACTCCTGATGCAAATTTAAAAAATGCACCATTGTTTTTGTTCTTTTTAGTTTTTTATGTAGCATGACTAGGTGAGGCCGCAAATGCATTTCTTTTTGCAGCCATGTGTTGCAGAATGACTCATACATCGATGACCAATAACACAGGAAAACACACCCTTTCCTCTTTAAAGAGGTTGGAACCAGGAAACGTTTTACATTTTTCAGGTGTAGTGAAATGACTTAAACATATATTATCAAGGTTGTTATGAAAGAATTATTGACTTAACAAATAAGATCAGGGTCATAAGAACTTCAAAACATGAAAGTTAGGTCAACAAATGGTAAAGAAATAAAGCCGTAAACCTTCAAAGAAAATTCTAACACACTTTTAACCTCAAAGCTACACAAATAAAACTGATTGAAGAAAAAACCTCACACTTGTACAACGCAACACTATTATATACTAGAGGACACCTTGTTTGGGTTCTGAGTGAGGGATTCAAAGAAACATAAAGCATGTAACAATTCATGGTTTTCTGTTAAGAATGGCATTGGACATAAATGGAAAGGAACCATAAAAGAAAGTCCTCAGCAAATGATGCCTTCTAGTTATAGATATTCAACACAGAAACCTCCATGTGAATACACAGTACCACACAATGTTTCTGACAGCAGTACAAGCTTTTTGATGGTGCATTGACATCTAAATATCCCCACCGGGCATTTTTCTTCTTGTTTTCAGCTTTCTCATAATTTGAAAAAGAAAAAAAATATATACATATTTATGACTGCTTTCCTTCACATATTGCACATACGTTTAGCCTGGGGAGATAGAAAATCAAGCCAACATGATGCATTTTGTAAGTGGAGCAGTGGGAGGGTGGTACTTTGGTAATAGAAAAAGGGATGATGTGGTCAGAGTATAAGTATACAGATCATACATAAAGAGACCGGTACTTTTTTTTATAATAAACTTTACTGATAAAGACAATTTAGGTCGTCATACTTTAATTTGTTGACAAGTGAGATGACTAATGATGTACTTTTTCAAAAGCTTATTATCACGAATACATTGTATAGACTCTTGGTCTATTCAGTTTCTTCATAACCCCTTATCTGCCGAGTATCATCTTAAGGACCTTAAAATCCACCTGAAACATATTGTCTGACTAAAAACAAATACTTGGTATATCTGTAAATAAACCTGTTATCCTTAATTCCTTTAGTGTTATCTTTTTCAGGTTCTATAGCGGCACCAGCAACACGCTGCACGCAGGGCCGCCTTAATGCACGGGCTGACCTGGGCTGAAGCCCAGGGGCCTACGGAGATCGGGGGCCTATCATGAGCCAATACAAAAAAAATATATATAAATCTTTTTATTTTTATTTCGGGTGTTTTATTTTTATTTTAAATAAACAAAGTCTTGGCTTTCAGAATATGAAACTTATTATTTCCAAAATCACACGGTAAATACATTTTTGAAGCTTGTAAAGGGAAGATGACAGCTCTCCCTCACCACTCTGCTGTTCCGCAGCGCCGCTTCCCCTCCCTCCGTTGTAATTATGAATGTAAGCGTAGAGTAATCATAGATAACACGGCAGGGTCCGTTCCACTTTGTTTTCATCTGATTTCAATTAAACAAAGTCTTAGCTTTCAGAATATTAAACTTGTTTCGGCAAATTCAGATGATAAATACAACTTTGAAGCTTGTAACGGCATAATTACAAGCGGAGAACTGAGTAACTTGACATCACAACTTGAGATGGATTTTAAGAACATCATAAAGGCTTTTTCTTCAAAGAAAACCAGACGGAAGCACTGCTAAAGAGGTAAGGCAATGCTGCACTATTCATTGATTCCCAGTAGCCTGCAGGTTTAAATGTGTTGTGCATCGTTTTACGCATTTACTAGTGTTAATGCACCGGAGATAATGATCATTCTCATCTACTGACACCTGGCATTGAGGCCATATGTTGCTGTTCATGGTGCATCAGATACCTCATTCACACCAACGCAACTCCGGTTCAAGCTCCGTGCTAGAGCTTTTCAGGTTCAGAACCGGTTCTTCGGTTTGGCTCCGGCTCTTTTCACACTGCCCAGAGTCCGACTGGTGCTGCGTCATTGCGTCATCGTTTGCGTCATGACGTGACCGTTTGCGTGCCTGCTTCATAAAGCCAAACCGCGTGCAAACCCCTCACAGCTGACACCGACAACAACAACAATGGCCGATTGTGCTCCAGCTTCCTCTGTACTTCTTCGGAAGACCAGATTCCCAGTAGGTAGCTGGTCTCTTCAGTGGACCACTGCTGCTTGTTAAGTTTCTCCATCGTTGTGTACAAGCTGGATAAAACGCCGGCTTTTTGTTGTTCAGGAGTTGAACCCCCGCCTCGACGTAAGCCTGACGTATGTGGTGCTTTTGCTCTTGCCGGACAATTTTTTGGTGCTTGAAACAAACCGGATTCCGGAGCTAAGAGGCTGCTCCGCTGCGGTGTGAACAGGAAAACCCAGGTGCTTTTCAAGCTCCAGCTCCGAACCGGCCCTGAAACACCGTTGGTGTGAATGAGGTATTAGTTGTGTGTGTGTGTGTGTGTGTGTGTGTGTGTGTGTGTGTGTGTGTGTGTGTGTGTGTGTGTGTGTGTGTGTGTGTGTGTGTGTGTGTGCGTGCTATCACAGAGCCTGCCGAGGCTATAAATGACTTTGATTTGTTGTTTAAGGGGGCCTACAAAACCTGCCATCAGCCCCAGGGCCTGATGGCAGGTTAAGGCGGGCTTGGCTGCACGACAGAAACATCAATCTGTTATTGAGCAAATAACCCTGCAAGCCTGCGCGCCTCAACGTTATTTATAGAAAAATCACTGCAATTTTGGATGATGAAATATTAAACCTCCAGATACTGCTCAAAGTGATTTATGATCCAGTGTGTGAAGCAGTGGGTTTATATGTGTGAGGCATGTAGGGAGAATGCAGTGGGTCGTAGCATGCCTGTCTGTTTGGGTGGCCTCGTCAAATGTATCTCCTAGTTACCTTTTTTATCCTCCAAACATCTAACAGCTATGCATATCATCCCTCAACATTCTTCTCACGGCGTTGGAGGTTCATATAATTAAGCAGGCTATCCCTAGGCAAATGCTTAATAGGTAAAGAACCTAGCAAACTGATCATAAATAAGGTAGCGCTTCTGTAAGGCTGTAGTTATACACAGTGCTGCTATGAGATGCTAATTTAGCTTGCTAGGTAAATAATCACTATGCTAAGGCTGTTGCTAAGGTAGGCTATTTGTCCCTCCCTCCTATTAGTTTTCCATCTTAAAATGCTCATTAGCACTAAACAAAAATTAAGGCAGAGGCTTATGGGAATGTAATACGTTTTTCAAGTTATTCGGTTGTAAACTAAAGTATTGGACAGATTATTGACCTGATGATGCAGCAAGAGGAAAGGTCAGGGGATAGTAAAAGTAAATGTCTCACTAAGAAATACTTAAAGTCTGTAATATAATTAAATTAGGAAGTTTGTTCAGAAATGTCTATCCCACACTCTCAGAAGATTAGCCAGGCTTTGATACCCCAAACAAAGTAAAGGTGAGAAAGAAGAGGAGAGAGAGAAGAATGAGCAGAGGGAGTGATGAGAAGAGGGGAAGAGAGAAGTAGAGTCGAACAGAGGGATTAAAGGAAAGGCATGGATGGAGACTTCAAGAGAAGTTCCAGACATGGAAGATGGCAACTTCATCACAGTGTATCCCTCTTTTTCCCCAAAGCAAGAATAAGGGTGTCAGGCAGGCCAACAGCTTATGTCGGCTGTGGACCATTTCCAGCTGCAACAGGTGAGAAAGAAATTCCCTCTTGATGTTGAGAGATGTGGAGAGAAAGGCTAAACAACCATCCTATTTGGTGATATTATAGTTTTAGATGGAGAAGACTCAAGAGTAAATCCTCAAAAGAAATGATGGGCTGTTAAAAGACAAAGCACTTGAGTATATTATCCAAACCAAGTTATTATTTTCTTGTCTAGAGTTCAATAAGTAGATCATTACCAATTTTAGCAGGCGGCTAGCTTAATGTAGCATACAGACTGGGAACAGGCAATAACAGTTAGTATGGCTGTGTCCAAAGGTTAATGCTCTCATCAACATTATCTATATTGTTAGCTGCAACCCAGTCTCACGGCATTTCATGTTATAGTTATGAAATACATTTAGTCTATTGATTCGTGTTCACCAACATGATTTCGTGCTTGCACCACGTCTTTTTGTCCGGTGGTTCATAAAAACATTTTCTTACTCAATATCAAGCCACGATTATTGTTTTTATTTTAAAAATGGTATAATGTCTGACTTTTTTTGCCATCCGCAAGGAAAGGAAATGAGGCTTAGAGCCTCAGAAAACTGAAATCTGTATTTTTTAAATCTTTTTTTCCTTCTAATTTGTTATTATTTGATGCAGGCACGAAACATACTACCAATAGAAATATATTGCTTTTAAAATCGTTCTGTGTCAGAATACTGAAATCTGTATTTTTAAAATCTTTTTTTCCTTCGAATCTGTTATTATTTACATTGCTTTTAAAATCGTTCTGGGTGACACGAAAAAAATGGGAAAATCGTGTTGGTGAAAACGAAGCAATAGATTACATTTCGTGACTATAACACGAAATGCCGTGAGACTGGGTTGCAAAATGTACATTTATGGGTTTTATTTCATTAAAAAACAGAGCTACTGCGTTTTTTTAGCCGGGAGCAGTAAATAGCTAAGCTAAGCTAACAAGCTGCTCAATGTAGCTACAGATATAGCCCTATGATTGTTATTATCTTCTAACACAGATGGAAAGTAAGCACATTTTGTATACTACAACTATAACATATCTATGCAATGTACTTTTTTTTTTTTTTTTAACAATCTTTAATATAGAAATTATCAAATATGTGTAGGCTATCCTCATTAAATATATTCAATATCACTTAACATTCGACTAGAAATAACGTATTTATTAAATATTTTTTAACCAAATTATGATATTCTACATGTTTTTTGCACAAAACACACAACAAAACAGAACATTTACAGATATTGACATCTGCCTATTTCCTCTCCAGACATTTATTCCACTGTATGTAACAAATGCAAGAAAAAACATGAATTATATTTTGCTAGGTTTGAATTAAAGCAGGTGGTGGATGTATTTGTGCAACGAGTATAGTATTCATTCTTGTTTAGTTCTAGCCATTGGCTGTACATTCATATTGCTGTTTGCTCTACCCAACAGCACCCTAGTGCGTCACTCTCTTAAAGACGTAATGCTCATACCCTCAGCTCTGCATAATGAGTGAGTGGATGGTGGTGGGAGGGCACCTTTGACCAAGCAGAGAGGAGCCTGAGGAAACTTTAAAGGGTAAACATGTGATTTTGTTTTAATTCATGAAGGACTAACACCGCCTCTCCGTTCTTTCAAACTTGTTTCTCTCCGTCCCTGTCCTCTTGCCTTTGCATTTCTCTCTTATTTCCCCTCTTTCATCACTTTTGCATCTCTAAATGTCTCAACTAGTCTTTTTGAAATGCCATCCTAAGTTATGCAACACATTGAATAGTTCCTTTCCATTTTCATAGACTGCTCTTTTCATTAGAGCCTTAGAATCACCTTGTTCTGCCATCTTTTAAAATATGTACAACATGTGAGAGAGGAATAAAACGTCCTTCATGGTTCTGAACTTTTTATTTTGTATTGTAAAAACATGTTGTGCAGGATACAAGGATATGCAAATTCATGTTTATTCGTATTTGGCATTATCATCTAAGCAACACATTATTTCTTGTGCATCATTGTGTTGCATAATGACCAACAATATTTGTTTTATTTAAGGTTTAACAGCTATTCTGTAAGTAACATGCAGCTGACAATCTCTTCTTGTTTCCTTCTTTCACTTTAGCCCACTCTTCTCTTCATATTCATCTTTGTTCTCTCTGTCATCATCGGTTATGCAACAAGCATTAGAGACACTCATTGCCAGGAAGTGGAGTGATGCCATATGTAGGCGGTAAGAGCCCATGTGGGTGAAAGCTGTCCGTCCACGCTCACTGAGTGTCAGACTTACAAGTTCTACAAACGGTTACAGCGAAATATGAGCAACTCCCAGAGCTGAAGACGAAAGAAAACCTTGTTCTGAGCTGTGATATAATGAAAAGAACAAGCCAGGAGCTGAACCGCTTGCCAAAGAGCTGAGAGCTAACCGTGGATTTGAAACTGTAACGTTCATTTCAAAATAAAAGGACATACATAAGTCCTAAATAGGATTTTTCCCGAGTGTAGCTACATACTTATTTTGGTTTTATATTCTATAACATATTCTATTAAGATATCTTAATGTTAGAGAACATTTAATTAGTTTGCTGCTCTGTCATACTCCAGGCATAAGTGTGGCAGAAGGTTAAAGAAGGTAACCCAGACTTCTTCGAGCATCTTCCAGCTCTTTCTTAGGGATCCTGAGGCGTTCCCAGGCCAGGTGGGATATGAAAACTCTGCTGGGTGTCCCCCGGGGTCCCCTCCACAGATGGTGGTGTTCAGAAAGCTTACTGATTAGATTCATAAACCTCAACTGTCTCCCTTTTTTTTAATTCTAGAGTTGGTGCTGTGCCTACAGATGAGCCCACATGAATGTATTGACTTCATCATTTTAAAGGAGTCAATATAGCTAAGATTGTGCTTCCTAGTGCATTTCAGCAATACTTGTACATGTTGGGTTAGTTTTGTAACCAAGGAATGATTCATTTTCCAGAAACCTAGTTTATTTTAGACTGGAGCATCTGTTGTGTAAGAGTAACATGACATGAAGGCAAATACCTCCACGGGGAGCTGATCAGGAGGACGTTTGATCTCTAGAGGGTTCAAAGTACGCTAAAACTGCATTAAACCTTACTGTACTCAACTTGGGGCGATTTCATACAAAACAATGACGGACGACGTTGTTGATGCTTCTTGTTTTCACTAAGTATATACTTTTAAACAACCATGGTGAATTTAACCAGAGTAGTATGCATTTTAAAGTAAATGTTTCAGTTTTGAAAGTAGTTGTGTTTTGATTTAGCATTACTGACATTTAAAATGCAAGCTATTTATTTATGGTATACGTTTTCCATCAATTCTGATGTATTGTATGACATGCTGAAGGGGTTTTAGTGTTACAACATGTGTGGGTTTTTTTCTGTGAACTCTGTCTCTCCACAATTTCTCTTACCGTGGTCGCTCTCTGTCCCAGATCGACCCCAGTACCTCCGTCTCCGCTCTGGCGTGTGAGTGTGTCGCTCGATTACCGCAGCGATGAATCGAGTATTACTGACTGAAAATGAAGGAAACACACAGCTTAACACTAGGCCCCTTAAGAAATCTAATATTTGCAGCATCAAATGAAAGGAAATCCTGTAACAACTTTATCTTAAGTATTCATCCCTATTATCAAATGTTCTGCAGCATGTCTTGTTTATATCGATAGGATTTCAAACAATACTCACTAATTCCTCTGTCCTCATGGCTGTCTTCATCTCTTTCATCTCTTTCATTATCCAGGTTGGACATTCTCACTGACATTTCTGGAGCAGCATGGAGGTAAAGGGGAAGGAAAAAGACAAATGCAAGATAAGATTGATGTCACTTTGGAAATTGATATCTGCCAATATTACAAGAAGAGATTAAATGAGGGCATGGTTTCTTTCTCCAAATATTTTTAGATTTAGGAGTTTTATGTTTGGGGAGAATAACCACACACACACACACACACACACACACACACACACACACACACACACACACACACACACACACACACACACCACACACACACACACACACACACACACACACACACACACACACACACACACACACACACACACACACACACACACACACACACACACACACACACACACATCACACACCACACACACACACACACACACACAGCACACACACACACACACACACACACACACACACACACACACACACACACACACACACACACACACATCACACACACACACACACACACACACACACACACACACACACACACACAACACACACACACCACACACACACACACACACACACACACACACACACACACACACACACACACACACACACACACACACACACACACACACACACACACACACACACACACACACACACACACACACACAACACACACACACACACACACACACACCACACACACACACACACACACACACACACACACACACACACACACACACACACACACACACACACACACACACAACTGGAACTATAAGAGCCAATTCCTCAGCTGTATCAACACCATCCATCCCAAGTAGTTTACCAAACAATTATACTGATAGCAACTTGACTCAAGTATTTTAATGAGGCTGTAATCGGGTTTGATGTTTTTGTCAATATCGCTGAGTAATCACACAATTCATGCTGTAGCAGCTGCTGCTGCGTGATGATAATGTCAGCTGTTTAATTCCAGCAGCACTTACCGCTCTGCTTGTTAATCAGGCTGCTTTGAAACTCTGTATCATACTTTGGTATTTAAAAGAAATGTCAGTATGTGAACAGACTAAATGTGGAGAATAAAACAGGGACATTCTCAACCTAACTTGTGGTTGCTTTGGAAGCTTTTGGGCCATTACAAGCCAACAAGTAGGATGCTGTGGATTTATTTTGTGGTGGTAACAAAATGTGTTGACAACAAATAATGTTATATGTTGAAATTTCACTTCAATCTCATTTGACTGACCTATAATGTTCGATTATAATTCTATTTGTGTTTTTTAAGAGAGATAATCCATCCCTTAGTCCTACCTTGTGCTGCGAGTGGTGACATGTGCTGGTGCGACCGCCTGTGGATCTGGTGTCTGTATGCATACACAGCCAGCACCAACACCATGATGCATCCCATAATGCCCCCGGCAACTGGACCCACAGGGGCGCTCTTGATCATGTTCAGAGAGGCCACCTCCTCATCTAGGGAAAGAATGAGAAGAAGAAGAAGAAAGGAGAGGAAAGGATAGGCAGACGGTTGTTTCAGGAACAAAGCATTGCAGATGGTTGAAGTGAAAAAAAAACAAGCAAATATCAAACAGCTCTGGCTCAGATTTTCTTGCATGCCGAGACATTTTTCAGCTTCTGTCCTCTCACGATGTGAAACGCCGCGGACAAATGATTGACTGCGATAGGATGGCCAATTTTCATTTTGAATAAACTGATAACAATCCAAGAAAATAAAGTCAGAAACAAGTCAGTCAATTTTGAATATTGGTTATCATGATCAAGAAATATAAAACCTTTGTTAAAACAAGGACCATTGGATTAGTTTACTCGTTTCTTCTTTTGTCTTTGCTTGCCTGTTGCTTTGCTCTGTTGGCTAAGAAGGTACACTAGGATACAGTTGGGACAAATGTCTCATAACTGTGGACTCTGCAAAAACAGTTTAGGACTAATTTATATCCACAGTTCACTCACCTATCATTCCCATGCCATCTGCGTAGGGACTCTTGGCGCCGACGATTCCCCCGAAACATTCCTTCTGCAGGGCACAGTACGGCTTGTCGATATGCGTCTTACCATCACTGTCCACCATGCACCACTCACAGTCCAAAACGCCGAAGCAATCACTGACACAGGGCAGAAACAATATAAATAGAAGTGATATTAGTTGGTGGCAAACACTTAAAAGAAGCTATTAAGGAATGTTTTACCAAATGTCTCACCACTACCAGGTTATAAAGTAAAATAAATGTGTTGTATTCATTATTGTGTCAAATCAATTTAGCAGATTATTATTAATATTATATATTTCATTCATTTCATTTTTTATTTGTCATGGTATGCACAAACTCAATGTATAACAATGATTTACTAAATCTGTCTCTGTAAACACACCATACCCGAACAAGACTGTGATTTTAGAGCCTTTTTTGGTTTATTCATTATACCAGTTAATGTGTACTGTACATGTGTGTAGATAAGTGTGTATACCTGCTGGTGTATCTCTGGCTACAGCGAGTGTTGATGCACTGAGGCAGCGTCTCATGCAGACTGGGATCAATCACATTCAGACTGACTGGCTCGTGGTGCACCTCACAGCTGGGGTTCCTGCATAAAACAATCATAAAACACAACAGGTAAAAATACAGAAAGGTGCAGGTGAATATTCTTAGGAAAAAGTCAAACATTCTGCTGACAGAATCTATCCTAATCCTAGATTGAAACATGATTGGACTTTAAAGAAGAAAGCAGATGTTGTACAGTAAAATTGACAATGGAATCAAAGCATGAAGCCTCAAAGGAGCGTCTTCAATGTGTCAATTTATGCTAAGCAGCTTTAAAGAGAAAAAGGAAACATCAATGCTGCTCGACACGAAACAAAGAGAGAAATCTGACAGTGAAAAAATGATAATTGCATGTCTTCCTGAAATAAAAGGAGAAATTGGCATTTGAAACATTAACGTGCAGTCAAAGACTGCTGATGGTTTATGAAAGGAGATTGGTGGAACAAGAGAGAGACAGAGAAAGAGAGAGAGGAGAGACATGAAGGCATGACTAAAAATACAAGAGAGACAGTGACAGTCAAAGAGAAGTAAGGAAGCACCCACAAACATTTACACGGCTCCAAAAATCATTGCAGGAGCGCGATATGAGGGTAAACAGGTTTAACACCGAAACTTTGATTTGCTGATTTACTGTGATATTGATGTGGCAATCGTCAAATCATAACAAGCCACAGTTCAAATAGTAGCATGAATATTAAAGAGAATTGCCACCTTGGAAACGTGCATTTGCAGATACTTTACAGATGATTTGGCAAATGTTTCACATGACACTGAATGAGTAGTGCAATATAATACGGTCAGCAAGTTAAAAAAAGTGAAGCTATATGCGAGAGGTATATTCCCGCACAAACAGAAAAAACATGTGGTACCCATGACACGTTGCACCATGATGTATCTCTCCCTCTACCACATGTGAAAAGTAACTTCTCTAAAAGCAACCGGCACACATTCGTTGATTAAGGTTCCTTTCCCCTCTATGACATGACTGAATATAATTCACAAACATTGTAGAATTTGTTAATATAAATATGATGTAGGATATGGCTCAGACTGACCTGTTTTCAGCATTGGTGAGGTTACCAGTACACTCATTGACCTCCAGGGGGCACTCACATGGACACTCACATTCATTCTGCTCCATTCTGAAAAACACAAGACCAGTCACATGGTCAGTGAGGAAGCTCCATTCATTTTGTTTGTTTTTTAGGTGAAGTAAAAACCAATTGTATTAACATCCACAACATGTAAAGTTTCATAAGCTGAATTTTTGTTAGCTCATGATGCAAATGTAAATACAACCCACACAATCGATATCTACAATATCAGATCTGGATCTTTGGTAAACTACAGAGGTTTGACATTGTTAAACAAACATGCAACACATATAATCTTTTCTTGGAGTGTGTGTAAGGGGCTGAGACCTGTGGCAGTTGAGACAGAGGCGGTCCACGGTGCTGCAGGCGCAGAACGCCAGAGAATCACACGTCTCGTTGACGATGCCAGCGAAGGCGTTGGTGCCGGGGATTCGGGTCAGACGGTACTTAGAACAATGGCTCCCATGGACCAGGTTCGTAAGGTCCCCCTATGAGAAACAAATAGGAAGATTAAAAAACACTTCAATAAATACTAATTCCATTATTTATTTATTGTTTTCTAATTTGTACGTTTCTTTTATTCTAAGAATTACAATTAACACTTCAAGCAGTGACTCGCTTTTTTATGTTAATTTATTTCCTTAAATTATCTATAACCAGATGCAGCTGGAAAAAAAGAAACCTGGGCATGAAGGAAATTCATTCAAGTATGACATGTTTGAAAATATGTACCTTAATTAATTAAAAGCTGTAGAGCTTAAATAGGAATATTATACACCAGGACTCTCTAACTACACAAGACAAACTGAAGCTTTAATAGAATTATACTAAATAAGAATAAATAAGGTGGCAACACAAAGGATCACCATAGGGGGGCAGTGTTATACTATCACAGAGTATAACTGTCTGACTGTCTTCCTCTGCTTTCAATCATACATCCAGTTATCTCATGTTAACCGCCTCACCGTGATGCTGGTGTTGAACTTGTAGAAGCGCTGCACGGTGCGGTCACTGAAACTGTTGCACAGGTTTTTCTTCACGAAGTTGGGATGGTTCAGGATGTCGTTAGCCACCAACGGCTCCTGTATTCCATCACAAAAAAAACAGGAGGACAAAATTAGATTTAAAATAATAAAGAAGTAGCTAACTGTGATTAATGTTTTTGTATACTATTATATATTAGTCTCTGGTCCTTTACCTTGTGTGTAATGTGCTGCTGCTCTGCGGGGGCGTGACCTTTGGGGTCAATGAGAGTGGGGTGAGCCACCAGGTACCCTCTGTCCTCCATTATGAAGCACCTTATTTATGTAAGTAAACACACAAATAAATGTAAGTACAGCAGACATAGTGACCTCGGAAATCAATTTAAAGACTGTAACTCACATATTTATACTTTCATTGACCATTTAAAACGTTTTTTAAACCTGTAAAATACTGCTCCATTCTACTTCCCTCCATTCCTTAAAAATTGTGCCAAATACTGCGACTCCCTGCTCTTCCACCCCCTTTAAGCTAATCCTGTTTTATATGGCTCCTGAACACAGACAGAGAGAAAGCATGAAGGAAGACAGAAAAAGAGAGAGAGAGGGAGGAAGTGGGTGGTAGAAGGAAAAAGGGATGAAGACAGAAACAAAACAAAAGGGAGACTTAAAAGCCAGAGAAAGTATGTAGGGCTGAGACAGCAGCAACGCCACATCTTCCAGCAGGAATGCCATGATAATCAGCTTATCTCTTCTTCCCTCCCGTTCTTTTTTATCTCCTTCAACCCTTTGCAAGTTGAGTTCTCCACATTTAGATAAAATTCAGAGCAAAAGAAAAGAAGAAATTATCTAAATAAAGAAGTAAGAAGAGAAGATTAAACAACAGACACAACAAACCAACCCTTCCTACCTGATCTTGTTGCCCTTGTCCTGGTTGCAGACTGGCAGCAGGTCCAGTAAGACCTTATAGAAGTAGCGGAGAGTGAAGTCTATGCCCATCACTGCAACTGCATACCCAGGAGCCATCTGAGAGCTGGAGAGAGAGGAGACAGAGCAATAAAGCACACCAGATTTGTTTTAAAGATGTGGGAGAACAGTTTAACTTTGCCTTGAGTTTGTGTTTTTACTCAAAAGACCTTTATTACAACACAAATATTTACACATTTTGTACACACCAGCCAAAAACAAATCTAAAGCACACACAAAATACATCCCACTCACCTCAAACTCTCTCTTTCAATCTGTGTTTATGCAGACTACAGACTGCGTAGTGTTATGCTCAGTGAGCCGGCCATCCACACACTAATCCTGATTCATCACACACACTGATACTGAATGTTTGTGCGTTTATTGCAGTGGCCGTGGTAAACAGTTCCTATTGTGCTGCTGTTAGCGGTGTTCCCGTGCTAAGCTTTATTTTAAACTCACAGAACTAGAAACATAAATACTTCAATCTCAGCTGCAGTTAAAGGCTTTTTAAAGCCTCCAACTCAAAGAGGCTGTGTTTAAAACCTTCTGCTATAAAAAAAAGTAGCTGAAGCACAGAGTAATACTCTTTACTTGTGGGCACTTTGGTAGAGCATATACTTAAAGACAACTGTGATGGAAACAGAGCATTTGCTTTAGGGACAGTGACATATTTCTACCTTTCTAAAGTTGTTTAAGACCAAGGCAACTTGGCCTTATAGCTCTGTTTTTCTTTTCAAAACTAGTCTCTAACTGTCTGCTGCTATGCACAGTGGGTTTTCAGAGCTTTTTAGCTGAAATCAGCTGCCTGCTGCTGTGGCCAAAAATGACACTATAGGAGCTGTGAGAGTGAAATAAACTGTACCATTTCTGGTTGAACAGCTAAACAATGAGCTGAGACTCAAATACAGGATAATGGCAGATACAGTGTTCCTTCAATTCCCACAATGTTATTTTGTCCTGGTGAGGATGGTGTGTTTACTTCCTTTTTGTTTCCTTTTATGATACAAAGTCGCTGAAATGTAAACAACTGACTTGCTAAAATAGTGTACATAACAGTCGGATAAATAGAGAAGAGTTGTAAAGTCGGTGAACTGACTCAGCAATGAAATGTAACACAGAAACTTCTATCTAAAGTTTGCCAGCATTACCTCACATAAGTCAAGTTAGCCTGCAGCAGCAAAACACTTTCAACTCACTTCGAGTACTTTTTTAACCAGATACTTGTCCAGGAAAATACCTGTCCTGTAGGACTTGAATCTTCTGGTGCAGTAACTAAGAAAGCATATTTACTTTTTTGAGATGGCTAAAAATACACTATCTCAATCTTCTTACCTGGAGGCATGGATGGTGTGACTGATAGTGACAACGTAGCCCGCACCCCCCACATCCAGGTAGGGTCCCGTGAAGGTGACGAGGCCAGGGTTAGCCACAGCATGCTGGTACCTACACATCACACAGGAAGAGGGTTAACTCACAAAGCTGACAAAAGTTGAATGGAACTTTTTTGTGTGAAATGCAAAGAATTGGTGCTGCAAATAACTGTCACTATTTATAAATGATTATATTTACTCTTAAAAAAAAATTATTTGAGGAAAAGTATACTATTGATTGTGCTGATAATCCGACTAACAACCTAACCTTTACCAAAATATTATCGCATGACTTAAGTTTTTTAAGTGTTAAGTTAAAACTAAGATCAATGAGAAAATCAGAAATCGCTGGACCATTTTAGGCAAAAAATGGGCGGGCAGTCTGAACACATACTCATTCCCTTTAACTAACACACACACTTCTTCAGCCCCTTCACACTCTCTAAAGTAAGCCTCACCATTGTCTGCGGGTCGGGTCGAAGGCTTTGTCCATCAGTGATCCTGGGTAAATCCGGAGCACCCCACTGGGCGTTGCTATGTAACGGCGCACAATGTAGCAGTTGAGGCTACTCATTTCCATTAGTGTCATCCACTCATCCGTGACGTGACTGGTCGCCATAACCTCGTTCCTGACAGAAGACTGCAGAAGGATGAAGGGATGGAGGGAGAAACAGAGAGAGAAGAGGGACAGTGAGGGGAGGAAAAAGAGAGAGAAAGAAGGAGGGTGTAAACACGAAGAAGAGAAAAGGTTGAGCATTTGATAAAAAAGCTCTTAATCAGGGGTTTGCCTTGAAATTAAATTGGCTTAAAGTTTGCCTCCAATTTACCATTTAACAAAATGGGAAAGAAAGTGAAAGGTTCTCCCCGTTCGAACACCCCTAAACATGAAATGATTCTATTGTATTCCCGTTTAAGATAGTCATTTGTCATTTTAATATTTCAAAAATCCCAATAGTCAAAGCATAGAACATCAGTATTTAGGAATAAATAGCACTATTTGCCCTAAAGCCCTGCTAACACCCAGAAAATTCACATCCCAGTGCCATTTTCAGAGAGGCTTCTTAGTTTGAAAGGGGTGATGAGGTCACCGGAGGGGGCCTTTAAGACCAGCCTGGGAAACAGAGCTGGGACTGGGGCTTACAGTTCAAACTTTTACCCCCTAACTCCCCCCAGGATAGGAATGCACACACACTGCCAAAACCACGTGGGGGCTTTTCCTCCTTCTTAAAGGTGCAGAGCTTCATTATAAATGTGTACATTTTAGGTATAATGTAAGCTGCCTGAAAAGTTGCTTGCCAAATGCTGAAAGAAAGTTGCATTTAAATCGTAACACTAACTATCATGGGACTCATTAATTGTGTTTGTACATCCTTGATGCAGAATATGAATGTGCGTGTACATGCCTGAAGCCTGACCGCAGGGCTGGATGTGTGCCAGGTGTTTGTGAGGTAAACAACATTAACCCCACGTGTGCCCACTGGCTGGTCTTAGCCTGGAGATATATCTATGTATATATCATTAAGTACCTTGAGGCCTGGGTTGGCTATGAGCCTGGTGTTATCACTCAGGTAGGCGGTGTAGTGCTCCACCATGCGCTTTGTTTCCGGCTGACTGAGGTGCTCGTACGGAGAGGAGAAACTTCCAGCTGCCAACATCACCGTGGGAGACTCTGTGAAAGAGACAGAAAAGGGCAAAAAGAGACAGTCAGAGATGGTTATAAATGTCTAAGAGCTGACTATGGATACAAATAAAGTTTGAAGACTTCTTTTTCACTCCCAAGTTATAATAAATGAGTGTCTTTCTCCTCACCAACTGTGGCGAGCTGTTTGAAGTGCAGGCAGGAGCTGGGCTGAGCCAGCAGGTCTAAGCGATGATACAGCAGCTTGGAGCTGGGCGCTGTGTTCAGGTTCTTCAGATGTTTCACTGGGATCTCCGGCTGCACGTACACGATGCACAGGATGAACGACGTGTCCTGAACCTAGAAGACAGAAGACAGTGGAGGATTAAGGCTGATGATATTATTTACATACTTTCATTTTTAGACTTGTTAATACAATACAAGCAGCTGGGCACTGTGGTTTTAGCAAACACTTTTCCAACAGGGGTGAATAGTGCATTTGCCAATTGTTTGACCTTTTTCAACCATGGTTTTATAACCAATAGGTGTGTGTATTTCTGGAAGCAGGACAGTGCATGTGGGATTGACCTGAAAAACTACAGTACGGTGCCCATGTTCATGTAGTCATCCAGTGCAATAATGTTGAAGGTTTATTAAACTGTTTTTGGTCAACCAAGTGCTGGCCTTAAATACTTATTAGCAGGATGAGAAAGTTGTTGGTTTTGGTACTTTCATTAAATTAGTTGACATTAGGGGAAAAAAACAGAAGCTTCTGATAACTGGAGAGACAATAGGAGAAAATGACCTTAGCTGCTAGTTTTAAGGAGACATTTTGTCTAAATTCTGTTCACAAGCACCGAGACGTGGTATGCTATAAAAGGATTTCCCTAGACAGTTTTTGTCGTCTGGATTTTTCATTTGTGGCCGATGTCGACATATTGTTGGCTCTTTAAACGTGATTTAAAAAAACAGACAAAGCTGCCACACTCATGGCAAAATGTGACGTGGCTTAACTGACTGTATGAAAAAAAACACAACATGATTTGTATAGGTTCAAAGGGAAATACCTTAATCAAGAGCGATATTTTTGCTAATGCCACATTTCTAAATGTAAAAATACTTGGCATTATGGTATTGCTGTCCTGTTGTTCCAAAACATGACACCTTTGGGCCAGAGAGGAAAAGCATATTTGAGGGTTTTTGGGTGTGGGAGAAATTGGTTTTTATTACAATTTTAGGTGACGGAGTTTTGCTGGAGACAGAAAGACTGGAGGCATAAATCTCCTCATAAGCATCTTTTGTTTTGACAGTCTTTGTAGCTTTGTTTGGGAACTTTGAAAAAACATGTGCTACTTCTATTTGCTTTTTATTTCACATAGCATTAAGGATTAAACTGTGAATGTTGATGTCACCAGTGTACACCAGTGTTGAGTCTCTACAAGGTTCATACAAACACCTACCAGTTTCCAGGCGTAGCTGACGTTGTATGCGTCCTTGCTGTTGTCCCGGAGTCGGTTGTGGTGCCAGGACAGAGAGGAGTTGACTGGGACAGAAATTACCTGACTGCCCAAAGGGAGGCTGCAAGAAACATACAGTATTAAACACCAAAACATACGATATGTATGTCAGTCACTAGGGTTTGTTAAAGTTTAACCTGAGTCAGGGTGTCAGCAGGTTAGTTCCTAACTCAGTAAAAGAAAAAAAAAAAAAAAAGAGTTCCAGAGTAATTCTATGCTCTTAAGCTAAAGTTATTTAATTATATTGTTATACATCCACAGTTTGTGGTTCTATTTCATTTAGTTGCCTGTGGTAATGAGTAATGTGGATACTGTTTTACTGCTTTGACACTTGATGTAACTTGAGAAACCAAACAGATGGTAAGATTGCTTGTTGTTGTTTGACAATTGTAATGCCTAAGAGCCACATCATATAGAGTAAAGTCACAGTGTTTAATTTAACCCGGGTTGATTAACTACATCACAGTATGTTATGTACATCAGTATGTGTGTTTATACACCTTTGAAACGTTAAAAAAAAAAATCTATGCAGTATGCTTCGTGGATATTGTTATGGACATTGCCTCATGATTCAAGCTGTTTCCACAGCAAGGAAGACGCCTTCAAGGACTGTGGGAAATGGGGTTTATTGTGGGGAATGTGTTGCCATTAATGTTTCATGCTTTCCTTTTATAATGTTTATATGCTGAAGTGATGTTAAAGGTTGTTTTATCATCATCCAGAGTGGGGGTAGTGTTACAGGCTTGGCCTGTCACTTTAAGAGTAGCAGCCGCAAGGGGTTGTGGGTTTGGAGTCTCGGTGTGGGTGAAATGTGATGGCCAAGGCGAAGTGCGGAGTTATAGAGAGAGACGAAAGTATAGAGAAAGTGGTCAGAAAATGAATAGTATCTAGTCTGTATGTAAGGAATACAGTGTCAATATAGCTTGAAGAACGTGAATAAACTGAGGTTCTTCCCACGGCACCCGAACGCCTCGTTTCCATCCTTTTTCCCCTCGAAATGTCTGGGCAGCTGGTTACCGGCTGACAACGAGCCAAGTCAGAAACCACCGGTGTGTATTCGAAACTACGGTTTCGGTGCCGAGAAACCGTTAGTAATAAAAGGGGTGATGAAACATTGGGTGAATTTCTGTCTCTTGAAGGTAACGTCTCTTACCTGAGGATGTTCTGCCGCACAACAGGGAATGCTGGGATATTCTCGTAGTGGATAATGTCCGTGTGCAGGGGAGGCTCTGTCATCAGGTAGGGCCGTGTGAGTGATGGATGCATCAGGGTGTAACCTGGAAAATCACAAAGCAATTCATAACATCATTCATTTGTGTTTATATATACTGAACAATAACACAACATCCTCAAACGGCCAATTTATGCATATAACATTAAACAGAGCAGTAGTGTTTTCTTTGGTCACTGTCAAACAAGGCATTCATACACCACAATCAAGCATTCAATCTTTACTATATAACTCTGCAAATTAAGTCATAGTCTCTTTATACACGGTGAAATCCTTGTTGATGCAACAAATAAAATCATGATAAAGAGTAACTACTAACTAGATTATTGCTTCAAACCCTAAATGTCACTTAAAGTCCAATTGACTTGAATTCTGGCAACTTTAAACATACAACCTGAATGTTAGAAGAGCTCCAAAGCTGTTAAAACAATTCTTTTTCAGGAACCAGAAAGAAAAGTATCTTTAAGACGCTTTGGTATAACTACTTGTTTGTCAAAGTCTTGTCATATTATAGAGTTGCCTTTTTAGAAAAACATTTGATCAAAACCTTGACATCAAGGAAAGATAGTACATTTAAAGTCAATAGAACATATGCCTGTCTACTATTTCGGAGTGAAGAATTACTCTCTTGTTCACTTGTTTTTTGCTTGGTGGAGTGTAGTGCTGTAATAAACTCAGCTCTTAGCAGCATCATTTTAGGAGAGCCAAAAAGCCCTCAAGGTACTGGATTGCTGATCCACTCTGAGCAAAGTAAACAAACTAAATCATGTGCTGTTGTTTTTAAGACATCCTAATACACTGTGAAAGAGGGAGTGTGTTGCTTTGTGTCGTGTGTGTTGTGTTTCATTTGCTGTATTAAAAAAGGCATCTCTGTCCTCACACTGCAAACTACAGCACAAGGGCCAGAGTATGTATATAAGTCATAGAGAGATCTATACATTGAAAAGGATAAATGCCTCCCATGCAAAAATATTTCCAATTCACTTGTGAGCTATTTTTATTTCCAGGTCCGGAAACCTCTTGTCAGCCCTGTATTTGCCTAATTGTATTTACCTACAGGCTAATTGCCAGCAGACGGTTTGATGCCAGCTAATAACATTACATGGGACTCAGTCGTCAATGTTTTCAGTGTTGCTGCATTAATAAGCACCGTTTCTGTAATAAGCTATAATTGAATGGCATATTTATTAAAATAACAAACATTTAAGAGGGAAAAAAGAGACTCATTGAAAAGTGTAGCAGAGGAGCAAAACTCACACAGCTGCAAAAATTCCACTTGCAATAATTATGCTTAATAGTGAGAAAATGATGACGCTAAATAATTACCATTCAGGTGAGTAAACACTTGGTAGTTTGCCCATGTTTTATGATTTGCTCCACGTTCCTGAACTCCCTCATAAGTATTTCCTCTACAGGTCTTCCCCCTGTCATTCACTACTCCCTCTTTTAAACATGGCACTACCTCTCAGTCCCAAATAACATACACATAATACGTCTGATTATTGATTTGAAGTTAAAAATACCTTCCTTTTCTGCTGGCTGTGTGCAAAAATCTAAAAGAGGGGACATTATCCCAAGTAGTATTTGTATTTTTAGTATACTTAAAGGGAATCAATATGTAGCTATAGTGCTATCTAGCAAAACCCTGTCCATTAACGTCCCTGCCCCCCAGGCCTACTGAGCACAACCTGCCAGCTGTCCAGCACCAGCGGATCATCCAAGACCCCCTCAGCTGAGGCCAAAACAAACTGAGACCGGACATGAGCACTACCGCCCTGCGCCGTGGCAACGCACCGAGGCATGAACTGAACAGAGAACAGATTGCCAAAGAAGTGCCAGTGCTACCAAGAAGATGTCAATTACAGATAATGGCTGTGGAGGAACTTGAAATAGACTAAATAAAATGTAATTCCACTAAACACCATAATACACTCTCTTCCAAACATTTGGACTGTTAATTTAAGGCTAACAAAGATTGATATCTTGAATAGGCACTGGAGTCTGTCACACATGTTGTAGGAAGAGCTTTCCTGCTTCTGTTGTTACTGGCTTGGTTTAAATTAAGCAATGCTATGTGAATGTCTTGTTTGCTGTAGTTCCCATAAGACTTGAACAACTTTATTTAGAGAACAGATTATCAAGAGTTAAAGCCATATTTGGGTTACACTGCTCTTCATGTGCCTGAAGTTAGAAAGTAGTCCTGTGTTAAATTGATTATTTCCTGTATCTATGTTACTGACCTTTGTTGTCAATGAGAAACGTGTATGAAGCCAGTGAGTCCTGGTAGTATGTGACGTCCTCCAGGATGTAGGCCAGGTTCACGTCCACCCCGACCACGCCCAGGAGCAGGTTACCGAAATAACACGGCCGGCTCACGGTCATAATAAACCCTGGAGAAAGAAGAACAACAATATAAGTAAAGTTCATAAAACACCTCAGATACGTTTAGGAATGTCTCTTTTTTGTCTGTATTGGAGAAAGAGTTCAATAAGTTGGGAAATGAACTTCTTCACTTTGATGAGAAGATCTATACAACTCTCATATCTGTACAAAACATATGAGCCTTGATGCAGCAGGCAATTAGCTTAACTTAGCATAAAGACTGGAAGCAGGGGGTAACAGCCTAGCCTGGCTGTATTTCCTGACTCCTCCTTTCAAACTGTTTGTAATTGCAACTAATCTGAAGTAGGAACTTTTGATTTCATGTTTTCTAATCGATCTTAACTTCAGGGTGAGCACCACTCACCGTCTCCCATGGGGTCCGAGTAGGGCAGGCTGAATCGGACCAGGTCGATCATGCGATTGGGCAGGTTGATGTAGAAGCGGCCCACTGTCGTCTCCAGGTTGCTCAGCTGATTTAGCACCATCATGCTTCCCTTCGACACCGGTATCATGGAGGCCGATCCGGACGAGGACATCCCAGATGAGCGGTCTCGACCTGACCCTCGGTCGACGCCATATTTCCCCGAATTCTGCTCTGCAAGATCCCTCAGGAAGGCCAGCTCCTTCAGGCCTGTTACTCCCTCTGATGGAGGAGAGAGAGAGATTGAGTTTAGGATAGGGAGGGCGAGTCGAATTTGTTTTTTATTTAATCGAGCAGGGATATTAGGAACAAATCAGTAACTGACGGCATGGCTGCAGGCCTATTGAATAGGGCAACTGTGCAAATGAAAAGAGGAGGGAGTGGTTGAAAAGAGGTAAACAGAGTAAACAGCTTGTCACTAAAGAGCGTATGACTTCAATTCCAACCGTACAAAGGCAGCCCACTGTTCTCTTTCCCCTGAAGCTGTAAACAACAAAACGTTCAAGGAGCTGAATAAAGAAATCACACCCCTGCCATTAACAAGGGCAGATATCAAGAATCATTGAAACAAGGTGTATTCAGAAAATGAACCTCATGCAGTTCACATGGTCAGGCGGCAAAAGGCTTTCACTGAACATGATCTTATAATCAAAGCTCATACAAAACATTGCCACATGGATTTCCCAAACATATTTGGCATCAGCAACATAAATATTTCATACATGCAGGCTCCAACTTGTAAACCTGCGTCATGATCTCTATAGCTTTGTTCCTTCAATGCTAGGCATCTGCCAAACAACAATTGTCCCCTGTGAAGCTCAGAGATCATGACATGAGCAAATCCCTCATCGCTTTAAAGAAAATATGCAGCTGAGTCGTTAATGCACTCTTTAAACTCTACATTCCCATGCCTCATAAGGTCATTTAGAGGACAATGGATAACCATAGCAGGCCCCTTCAGCTATCAACTGGAACATTTGGCATCCCACAACCTATTGGGAAGGACAGAGCCCTGAGTGTCTGCCAGTATCCAATCATTGACTGGATTACAGCAGAAACCCTCTTTAATGCAGAGGCTCTGCTGATCTTCACGCTTGGCGACTGACGGGAGTCAATGTCGTCATGGGTGGCAATGTCAAACCACCAGAGAGGAGAACGTTTGCTGACAGCACAGGTTCCCAATCTTTATGATAGGATAGGTATAATGATCCTTATGTAAATAAAATGTTTGATTTTGTAGATTAATCTCACATTGAAAGATACTATTGTATCTTTGTATACATTTATTCTAAGCAAACACAGTTATGTTGATTACTGAACCTTGAACAGCCCATCTGTGTTTCATCTTTCCACAGCACTCCTTAAAACATCACTATGGGAGTAAATCAGTCCTTCATCACCCACTTACTCAATCAGCATGCGCTGTAATGGTATAACTACCCATCTACCTAGCTAAGAGGCACGAAAGCAAAAACAGCAGTTGGAGAGTTACGTCAGAGGAGATACATTGACCAGCATATGTGTAATAATATCGAAGTTCTTATAATCAGGGTTCATACACTTTTTCACCAATGATTTTCAATGACTTCTCCATGACTTCTCCATGACCTTTACCTAATTTTCCATGACCAAATTACTCTTTCTCAGCGGTACCACTGAAAATGGTTTATTTTAACATGGAACAGGAAAATAAGGTCTGCATATAAAACATGTTGTGCCTATCTAAAACAAATCAAATAGTAGGCTTACTACAGTAGCTTCTACACGCTAAAACAACTAAAACCTCTCACCAGCAAGATACCTCGACAGTTAAATGACATTGTTTCATTACTATATGATAGAGTATTTATTATCATTATAGTAGTACTATTTTGGCGATTGGCTAAAATATAAATTATATTTGATGCAACTTTAGTTACATTTCCATGACTTTTTGGGAAAAATATTGTTATCCATAACTTTTCCAGGGCCTGGAATTTGCATTTTGAATTTCCATGACTTTTCCAGGTTTTTAATGACCGTAAGAACCCTGTATAATATGTATATTAAAATATGAATACAAATTAGTCCATAATGCAAAAAACAGGGACTGCAATCAAATTAAATCAACAACAAAAAAACGATTTTCTAAATGTCTCGATTAAATATGATTTCAAAGTTAATTTAGTCTGTCTTAACATAATTGTATGCTATCTGACAGACTATTCAGCAGGTTGCTCAGCCTAGCATACACCGTTTTGGTGAGGATGGTGGACAACTCATTAACACACACAAACTGGACACACACACACAACTGTGCTTTATACTGCAAAGGGACTGCTGATCCCCTTCAACAATCAGCACTTCACATTTGGCAGAGGATGTAGGGAATAAGACACACACACCCACAGTGGGTCATTCAGCTGTGTGCAGCAGCGTCAGGAACAAAACAAATGTTTTTTTGGATATGCAATGCTAATAAACTCAGAGGACGGTAGATTTCTGCATCCTTTTCATCATGGGGCTCTTTAAACAGCCAGGGTCCTCTGTCAGACACACACAGAGTGAGCAGCGTGCCCTTTGAAGTCTCACTCTCTCCTCTCTTAGATGTACCTCATTTCCATTCTCAGATGCTAAAATGATTTGTGTTAATGGTGGACTAATGCAAGCGCAGTGGATGTGAGTGTATGTGTGTTTGTTTTGTGCAGAGGGAGGAGGGAATTAGAGGAGGCAGATGGATAGACAAGAACAATAAAAGAGGAAAAGAAAGCATACACACATGGGGAAAAAAGCCTTTGAGGTTTCTGAGCACCTCTCTTACCTCCTGTCTCATGAACACATTGTGCCAAAGAATATAGAGAAAATGCACAGGAAACAAATCCAAGCAAAGCAAAAAAAAGAATGTGTGAGTAGGGCTAAAACTGACTGTTCTTTGATGTATCTATAATTATATGATTTTAGAGCTGGCTGGTGTTCTAAACAACCAAGGCAAAAGTAAAACATTAACAAACAACTAAGTGACATATGAGAAAACACAACAATGTAATGCATTAGGTTTATTTTACATTACGATATTGCATGTTCAAATAATGTCAAAATATCTGGTTTTAATAAAAAGATTGCAAATTGTAAGACAAACTCTGCTCTTATCCTTTGTGTAAGTACAAGCAGGGCCCTGTTGGACCTCATTTGTCCAATACATCTTAAAATAATACAAATATTGAAATTGGATACAAATTTGACATTTTGTTGATTTAAAAGATCCGTTTGCAGCAAAACACTCAGGTTCACCTTGACGCAGAATTGTTTATTTTATAGCAGGAAGACAAAATCAAGGGGATAATCTATTAAAAACCACTGTAAAAAACATTGATCAGCCTTAAATATAAGTGACCTACCGTTCATGAGAGCGTATGTGAGGATCATGACCGAGTTGTTGAGGTGTCGGTTCTCCTCTCTGACCACACTGAGCGTCGCTCTCTTCTCCTGCTCTGACGAATCTCGAGACGTGATACCGGACGACAGGTAGACGATCACCATGTCTGTGGCTGAAAGCAGAAACACAACACACGTCAATTGATATTAGATAACGCGACGAGAGTTGATTACGTTTTAAATAGCGAGAGCACCGGAGCTGGAATTGACCTCTGAGCACAGACACACATATTCCTAATTTGCAGCGTTTCTTACTGGAGCTGTGTTTGCAGAGACTGCTGGTGTTTCGGAGCAGCTGGAAGGCCTTCTGGAAGCCTGCAGCGTGCTGAGTGGCTGCATCAGACGCCTTGATGTTGGAGATGAAGGTGCTCATCTTCCTCTTGGTCTCGCTGGTGGCCGGAGAGAGCAGACTCTTATAGCACTGGTCCAGGGCGCAGGTGCGAACTGTCTCTGCCACTGACAAAATGGAGATCTGGAATGGAGTGATAAAGATGTAAAATGAAGAAAATGTTAATAAGAGTATCAGTATAGAGTTGTGAAGCATTTCAAAGCACAATATGTCATTTTCTAAGGGTCTCTCAATCATAAAATAACAGAAGCCACAGTCAGGTGGTGTCCATTACAGTCAATGTAATTGTTTATCATTCAGTAGGTTATCAGCGGTAGCCAAATGATCTGCATTTAAATGTTTAGGTATATGTGCTTCTCTAAACTTGCCCTAAACACAATGCGTTCTTCCTAATAAAGCAAGGTAAGAGAGATGTATTCCCCTTCTCTAACCTTGTCATGTTCATCGACGGCGTTGAGGATGACCAGTGCCGAGTCCCTGGCGATCTGAAGCTGGGTGTCAGTTACAGACGCTCCGTGGTCCACCATCACCACAATGTGTTTAGACTGGGGACGCACCGCAGACACATACACAGGCCTGCGGAGATACACAAAAATACAAAACATTGACTACACAGTTAACAAATCCAAGGCAATGAAGACATACTGTTACAGCATGTGTACATCGATAAAAAGGTCTTCCTCTTGAAAAATGTTCATCATCATGTCAGTTTTATTTTCTTGTCCAGTCCGCACTATACAGTTTTCAGAAGAAATGCGCTTCCCTTCTCAGTTTGTGTGGAGGTTAAAACAATGTTTTTGTCTTTAATTTGTTGTTATTGCTGAATTATTTAAAAGAAAAAAACATGTTTGAACGACTTGCTACAGCTGTATAACTTTAAAGCTTTAACTATTCTGTAAATGCTTAGTGTTTTTCAATTAAAAAATACAATTTCCAAGCCTTTTTGGATCACAGCGACATACAAAGTCAGGCAAAACAATAAACACACTACTTAACAGCTCCTGCAAAAAATTAAAAGCATGACATTATCATTGACCCTGAGTGCAAAAAGATACAATGTGCGCTCACTGTCAGCGTGCAGTTGGTATAAAACTTTAATACAATTATTTAGAGTTATATTTTCAATATTTGGTGTACATGTTAAAGTACATATGTTATCAGCTTGGTGTGATGAAGGGGGCTGGGTGGTCAGCGCCTGTGTGTGTGGTCTGCTGGACAAGGTGACACTAACACAGGGTGGAGAAGGGGAGTGATGTACTCACAAAGCCTCATTCACTCTTCAAGCAAGCCAAGTAACGTCATTTCTCTCATGGCTGCATGCCAGCTCACTGACTCGAACGGCCAGAGAAAGAGAAATCCGAAAAACATGATGTAAAAAAGCTAAACAAAAGCGAGAGGCAGTGCAAAAAAAAAAAAAAAAAAACAGAAAGTAGGAGAGAGACAAAAGAATACAGAAATAAAAGAAGAGAGAACGACACGTCTTTCAGCCGTGGCAACCAAAAAAGCCACAACACTGAAGCTGTGAAATTCCAATAAGCTTTACTGGTACAGAGCCACATTCCTGCTAGGGGCATGTGTGGTCAGGGTGTGAGAGGGCGGCACGCAACCAATATGCCCTCTGGGCCACCCCACAGCAACTGACAGAGACGAGGGGGGGGGGAAGGGCAGGAACAAGTTCATGTTTCTTTGTTTTACATAAGCCAGACTGTTACTTTGCCAAGACAGTGATATTTGTTGACAACGCATTTGTGTTTGGCAGTAACTTTGAGCTTAGCAATGAAATGAAGATGGGTTTATACCTGCTCCGGTGCTCGTAAGTTCCCTTGCACTGGAACTTGTGGGCAGGGAAGACTGTGAAGATACCCTCCTCTGAGCTGAAGTACTGCCACTTTATCCCCGGGTTGGACTTCAGGTTGTCTGCTAACACTGTAGAGAGAGAGGGAACAGCAAACATGTTATTTAAGTGAAGAATAAAGGGGAAGGAGAAAGAAACACACAGGAAAACAGGGAGCGAAAGGTAGGGCGCAAGGGAAGAAGGTAAAATAGAATATAGATCCCTTTCAATGAAACACACTACAGTAAGAGCGTTAAGACCACTGCCATTACTGTTCTTATGTGTATAAAGGATGTACAAATCTATTTTATCTAACAGAGGACAAGAAAAGATGTATCTGTCCATCTATCTGTCTATCTTTTTATAATGTACTTTTGAAGTCTTCTATTTCAGGAAGGAGATCTTTTAAGTTCAGGTGTTAACTGGGATTCCTGTTAAAAGAGTGGGTAAGACGAGCCACTCTGATATCTTAGGCTGAATGTGGTGTTTTGGATCAGCGAAGTCCTTTTAAATATTGTATGCAAGAGTGGGTTTTACAAATATACTTGACTTGTAAATGGAAAGGAAATCATGGATTTCTATTTTTAATTGTCACACATGCAAAGCCCACACAATACCATTTTGAAAAGAACGTACGGAATATGTGATATGCGAATTACTGGACGTAATTTCCGACATATTTGGTTAGAATCCCTGTGTTATATTGAATGTTGGAAGGGTGTTCTGATAGAAAGAATGGCAAAATTGACCTTAGGATTGTTTGTGTTTATTCTCCCAAAACTGCTGCTGTAAAAGCTAACCAACCATACAAACAAGTTGTTGATCCAATAACTAAACAAATCAGTACTAACATCTAACATCAGCTAGAAGCAAGGAATCCCATCCTGCAGTTACAAGTAGTGGCTCCAAAACTGCGTGAGGTTATTGTTGCCTGCCTTTGCATGAACTCAGAGCTGGATCCAGTCTGACAGGAATCTATACCTCATGCATTATGCAGTGATTGATTCTCTGCTAGCCTGGCTCATCCTGAACAAGCATGCTTTCAACTGAAGTACACACAAGCGTGTGTAACTTGTCTACGCTCCCTCTGACGAACAGTTGTGCATTGTTTTCTACTATTGAGCTTTTCACACCTAATTGAGCTCTATTCAAACCTGTCTATTCAGGCATGACAAAACACCCCTTTGTGACCAGACATACAGTTTACACATGTCAATATATTTCCCAATCCACAAGTCTGGTAGGATATATTAACTCAAGAAAGAAAAATAACTCTTTAACTACTAGGAAGTATACAGTACACGTCTTTCATTTGGATACCGGAACTGGATCGGTGTCATAACTGTGAGTGCAGGCCGAGCTGAAATAACAGCCTTAACTACGACCTCTGCAGAGACACTGAGCCTGATTATTTGCTCAACACCAACACACAGATTTTTTTTTTTTACTAGGTCACAGAGTCAACAGTTTCTTCACAGAGATCCCATCACAAAGCCAGCAACTTCCTTTCCGCTCACTGCAACACAAAACGGCCTTTCACAAAGGGATCGGGGGAGGGGGAGCGTGGAGTTAGAATATAAACCTTTGGGGGAAACAGAGAGGGAGCAAACAGAGTGTAGCCACCAGAGTAGGCTTTATTTTGGTATCACAAAACAATAATGCAACTGTTGAATCAATTTCTTTCTCAACCCTTAGATGCATAAGTGGTTCTTTTTTGACCCGGTGAGGTGGTTTTCTTGAAGTATCATTGTAATTACATTTTTTTATCATTTCATATTCCAGCTATTCCTCAAAAAACATGTCTTGGATATCATGCCATTCACATTTTAAATTTACATTTTAAGAAATTGTAGTTTTTGTATTACTACCCCAAGCTTCCATAAGTGGGTCAAAAATGACCCGCATGCATTTTCTATGGGGTTTCGTTTTTTTTTTCAAAATGTAAAAAAAAATTCAAAAATTCAAAATAGTGAAAAATTAAATATAAAATATTTCTAGTGTGAACCAAAATATAATACTAAATATTATACAAGTGATTCTTTACCAAAATGACAAAAATGGCATAAAAACACATATTATTCTAATACGGGTCCTTTTTGACCCACATATGGAAGAGTGTAGGGACCCTACACTCTTCCATATGTGGGTCAAAAAGGACCCTCGTCACTCGTGTATCTAAGGGTTAAAAACATAAATCAACCATGGCAAATCCAATTATCTTTATCATAGCAAGTATGCTTGAAGTTTAAAGTATGCAAGTATGCTAAATTAACTAATCTACTTAAAATATAGATGAACAATCTAAAACACATCTTCTCAGGATTCAAACCAAATTGATGTCTTGATATAGGGATATAACATATTGTCTTGAATCCCTATAGCCACACAAGTGCCACTACTAGGTTTTGGTTGAAATTAAACATTTAGTTTCCAATCCAATACAACATTTGGTGGGATTTAGACAGGTAATGCAATATTTAATGTTTTACTACTAATACATATTCACTGTGGTTTGTGGAGGTCATGTGCAGCTGTACACATTCAACTACTATTTTAACATTTAGCTGACTATGTGTTATTATTTGGTTGGAGGTTTCCACAGATGGGTTTGATTTCAAATATTTAGCTAATTGAGTTTATGGTCTATGCCAGACTAACCTCCATTTATGCATAGCAGCTGCAGCTAAATATTCTCATATGTGGTTCTTGGCATGTTATCATATTGAATTAATCACCTGCTAACGAGAAACTGTCTGACCCTTTCCATCCCTACAGCAATATTACAGCCAAATACTTTTTTTTTCAAAAGGAGGGGTGGAAAAATCACATGTCAAATATTCAACAAACATTTAAATCCCAGACAAATTGAATATATAAACAAATAGATACATTGCAGAACTACTGTGGAACTTGCTGTAGCCTAAGTTCCTGGCAAATAACTAATCTTTTGAGACATAGCAGGTTTTGGCACACCTCCATCTGGTGGCCCATCATCCCTGCCCTGTCACTCCATCCATCTCTAAAGCCTCATATAAACAGGAAACACTCAGTTGTGTTGACAGTGGAAGAAGGGCTCTGTATACACCTGTCAGGCTACAGTGCTCCACTCTGCCACCAATGTTTAGATCTTCTCAGAAACACATGGACAAGCCAAGAAATAGGACCCAGATGACACCCATTTCCTACAGCCTTAATGATATCTGGATCTCTTTCTATACATTAACACACCATATGTACAACTTGTGTGCTAGAATGTCCAGATATTGCAAACACATTTGAAGAATTCCCTCAAAGTGGCACCCAAGTGTAAAAGTAAATAAGCTAACATTCCAACATAGTTTCTTGTTATTCATGTATGACTGAGTAAACAAGACTTAAGAGTCCACAGCCATGCTAGAAGCTCTGTAAGGTTATACTGTGGCACAAAGGTGCTTGGAGCTGGGGATGTTCATGGTTTTCTGACTTACCAAAAACACAGAACTATGATAATGGGAATGTCAATAGTTTTGCAGGTTCGTCATAAACCAAAGTGCCATAATTCGGACGGAGATGGAAACATGATTGTCCTGGCAATCTCTCCAATAGCTGTAGAGATAATTCACATACATACAGTTTACTTCATGAAAGTAAACACGCCTTTTGGGAAGCATAACTATAAGTTGACACAACATGTCTAAGCCAGGAAAATGAATGAAATTGCACTTGATAGGATGAAGGCTGCAAAAAGGAAGAAAATGGATGGACGAAAAAAGATGAATCAAACTAGTCCTATAATCACACAGCGCTCCACCGACTGTCACCTTTCATCTACTTGGCTTTTCACTCCCACCTGCTGGTATCACTATTGATGCCTCCCACATCCACCCTCCCCCCCTTAAAAAAGTAAAATGAAAGATGATGAAAAATACAGTCTTGATAAAATTACTCTATATCAATCAGCTCTCGACTTTTCTTTCTTCCCCTTCATTCATCATTCTCTCCCTCTCAATTATCTCTCCCTCCCTTTTTCCCCTCTCTAGCTGCTTGTTTAGACTGGGCTGAGACAAATGGGAGAGAATGAATATGCTGGGAACATGGGGGTCAAGGAGGGCTGAGTGTGAGGGACAGGGAGAGGAGAGGGGTAACTTGAACTCGCCGTGACTGGCTTGCAAGGAAAATAACACCCAGCCGATGGTGACGTGTTATGAATGGCAGTCATTATGAATGGTTTGCAGAAAGAGGAGCAGAATACTGGTATGTCTGGAAAAAATAGGAGCGGTTCAGCAGAAGAAGAACAAATGATGTTTAAGGTATCCTGTAGATAGGGAAGGGAGGGGGCAAGTTCAATATCCAGGGTTGTATTGAGGAGTAAAGACTTCAGTATATTTCATATAAACTAGTGTCAACAACACACCAACGTGTGTGTTCAGGAACTGTTTGATGATCCAACCCTTAATTTTAAATATAGTTATGGCTGAAAACAGTCCCTCCAAGATTGTGAAGAGTGCTTTAAAGATAATTGCACCCGTAATAATAACATTTGCAAGCTGGCAAGGCACATTCTGTTTAATAACTCTTTACCTCTAAATTCAATCTTAAAGTGAAACTAAATGTGTCCTTCTATGCAATAAAGCATTGTCAACAAGTTCTGAAAATCAAATGTTAGGTTTAGACATTGGAGTAGAAACAGAGGTTTTGGTTTCTCAAATGTTAAAGCTTGGTTAGAGAAAACATTAATAAGGGCACAAGCACTGCATGACAATGCTATAGGAAAACACATAATGAAGTTAAAAGGAAATGTGTTGGTATTTCAAGCTTGATTTGTATTTGGCTTTGGCTGATGGAAGTGTTTCTGAAATAGATTACTTTTGGGGCAGACAACTGCAGTGCTTGGCACAATAAACAACATCCTTCCAAATTGATCAATTTTGTAGAAACATTTTGGGCATTTGAAAACTCCTTACTTGAGTACCTTACAGAACTATACTTATTTCTTGTGATCAAACGATCACAAATGGAATGAACTGCCAGTGTTTTTACAATGTGTGCTGGACTGAAGCTAAAGGTTTAAGAGACACAGGGAAAACAGTTCAATATTCCAGGAAAATGCAGCTGGGATATGACACAAACGCTTGTAAAACAGCTTGATATTTCTTCTCTGGAAGCAGAGGAAACACACCCCTTACCAGGCCATGGCATCAGAACAGAAAGACCAGCAGAGAAAAGTAGGCTTTCGTCTGCTTTTTATTCGATTTGACCATTTTCTTTCAAATCATGTGCAGGCCAACATATGTGGTGCAGAGTGCAGACACAAGTGGATTTTACATTGGGTATCATAGTGGGTAATATTCTATAAGGTAGCAGTAAGAACATCATCAAATTGCTTCCTCAGGAGATGTTGAGGTTAAATATATGTACTATAATGGCATGTAAAAGCCTCAATTTAGGGACCATTTGACGGGGAAGATAGACGAACTAACATTACATTACATTACATTGCATTTAGCTGACGCTTTTATCCAAAGCGACTTACAATAAGTACATTCGACCAGGAAGACACAACCTTGAAGAAAACAGAATCATATAAGTACATCAGGTTTCATAGAGCCAAACATTTCAAGTGCTACTCAACTGGCTTTAGGTAAGCCAGTCCTTTATTAGTATAAAAGTGCTTCGTTAATAGTTCTAACGCTCGAAGTGGAGTCGAAAGAGATGAGTTTTCAGTTTGCGCCGGAAGATGTGCAAGCTATCTGCCGTCCTGATGTCAATGGGGAGCTCATTCCACCATCTTGGAGCCAGGACAGCAAACGCACGTGTTTTCGCCGATGGGAACTTGGGTCCCCCTCGCAGCGAGGGCGCAACGAGTCGTTTGGCTGATGCAGAGCGTAGTGCACGCGCTGGGGTGTACGGTTTAACCATGTCCTGGATGTAGGAAGGGCCAGATCCATTCGCAGCATGGTAAGCAAGTACCAGTGTCTTGAAGTGGATTCTAGCAGTTACCGGAAGCCAGTGAAGGGAGCGGAGGAGCGGAGTGGTGTGGGAGAATTTAGGAAGGTTGAAGACCAGACGAGCCGCTGCATTCTGGATGAGCTGCAGAGGTCGGATGGCACATGCAGGTAGACCAGCCAGGAGGGAGTTGCAGTAGTCTAGGCGTGAGATGACGAGAGCTAACATCTCTGTTAACCGCCTTTGCTTTCTCACTGTCTCCGTCCCCACCGACTCATAAAGCTAGCAATGTCCTTGATCTCATATTCTCAAGGAACTGCGCTACTTCTAACCTCTCTGTAAACCGGCTCCACACATCCGATCACTTCTTCATTTTATTCTCTCTATCCCTTTCCAAACATAACAAACTAATCTCTTCTCATCCTGCACTTGTCCGCCGTAACCTTCGCTCCCTCTCCCCCTCTAGCTTTGCCTCGTCGGTGCTCTCAGCCCTCCCTTCCTCTGATTCGTTCCATCTCCTGCCTCCAAACTCTGCTGCAGAAACTCTCCTCTCTACTCTCTCATCCACTCTGGACTCGCTCTGTCCTCTCACATCTCGGCAGGCTCGTCAGTCCTCTCCTGCTCCCTGGCTAAATGATGCACTGCGTGCTAATAGAACCGTCCTTAGGGCAGCAGAGCGGAAATGGTGGAAATCCAAACACCGTGACGACCTCCTAACCTATCAGGCTCTCCTCTCCTCTTTCTCTGCTTGGATCTCTCAGGCAAAAAGCACTTTCTTTCAAGATAAGATCCAATCTTCCTATTCCAATCCTAAAAAACTATTTTCCATCTTCTCCACCCTCTTGGACCCTCCAAAAGCCCATCCCCCCTCCTCACTTCTGTCAAGCGACTTTGTTACCCACTTTGAAAAAAAGGTTGATGATATTCGCTCTTCTTTTTCTGACTCACCTTTACTCACCGCTGGGTCACCAGACCCTCCTTCCACCAACACACTGACCTCCTTTTCCCCTCTCTCTCCAAGTGAGGTTCTTACCCTCATTACCTCTGCCCGCCCTACCACCTGTCCTCTGGACCCTATCCCTTCAAACCTCCTTCAGACTATCGCTCCTGATATTCTACCGTTTCTCACCCATTTCATCAACACTTCTCTAACTTCTGGTCACTTTCCAAACAGTCTCAAGGAGGCAAGAGTAAACCCTCTCCTAGAGAAACCCACTCTCAACCCGTCTGATGTTATAAACTACAGGCCTGTCTCTCTCCTCCCGTTCCTGTCTAAAACACTTGAACGCGCTGTCTTTAAACAACTCTCCTGTTATCTCAATCAGAACAACCTTCTGGATCCGCACCAGTCTGGTTTCAAGGCAGGTCACTCCACAGAAACTGCTCTCATTGCTGTCACGGAGGAACTGCACACTGCCAAAACTGCATCCCTCTCCTCTGTCATCATCCTATTGGACCTGTCTGCTGCATTCGACACGGTGAATCATCAGATCCTCCATCGCACTCTCCAAAAACTTGGAGTTTCAGGCTCTGCACTTTCCCTCCTCACCTCATACCTGAAAGACCGTACCTACAGGGTGACTTGGAGAGGGTCTGAGTCCGACCCTTGTCAATTAACTACGGGGGTCCCTCAGGGCTCTGTTCTTGGTCCCCTCCTCTTCTCCCTGTACACAAACTCGCTCGGATCAGTCATTAGCCCGCATGGTTTTTCTTACCACTGCTACGCTGACGACATCCAATTAATTCTGTCCTTTCCCCGCTCAGAGACCCAGGTCGTTGCACGCATCTCTGCTTGTCTAGCTGACATCTCTCAGTGGATGTCTGCTCACCACCTCAAGCTCAACCTTGACAAGACTGAGCTGCTCTTCCTCCCGGGAAAAGATTGTCCCACTCTTGACCTAACAATCAACATCGGCACCTCAGTTGTTTCCCCGACTCAGACTGCAAGGAATCTGGGTGTGACCCTAGATAACAACCTGTCCTTCACTGCAAACATCGCTGCTACAACCCGTTGCTGCAGATACACGCTTTACAACATCAGGAAGATACGTCCCCAGCTGACACAGAAAGCGACTCAGGTTCTGGTCCAGGCTCTCGTCATCTCACGCCTAGACTACTGCAACTCCCTCCTGGCTGGTCTACCTGCATGTGCCATCCGACCTCTGCAGCTCATCCAGAATGCAGCGGCTCGTCTGGTCTTCAACCTTCCTAAATTCTCCCACACCACTCCGCTCCTCCGCTCCCTTCACTGGCTTCCGGTAACTGCTAGAATCCACTTCAAGACACTGGTACTTGCTTACCATGCTGCGAATGGATCTGGCCCTTCCTACATCCAGGACATGGTTAAACCGTACACCCCAGCGCGTGCACTACGCTCTGCATCAGCCAAACGACTCGTTGCGCCCTCGCTGCGAGGGGGACCCAAGTTCCCATCGGCGAAAACACGTGGGTTTGCTGTCCTGGCTCCAAGATGGTGGAATGAGCTCCCCATTGACATCAGGACGGCAGATAGCTTGCACATCTTCCGGCGCAAACTGAATACTCATCTCTTTCGACTCCACTTCGAGCGTTAGAACTATTAACGAAGCACTTTTATACTAATAAAGGACTGGCTTACCTAAAGCCAGTTGAGTAGCACTTGAAATGTTTGGCTCTATGAAACCTGATGTACTTATATGATTCTGTTTTCTTCAAGGTTGTGTCTTCCTGGTCGAATGTACTTATTGTAAGTCGCTTTGGATAAAAGCGTCAGCTAAATGCAATGTAATGTAATGTAATTTGAGTTTAAGTGAGGACAGAAACAAGTCCCTGAACAACAGGATAGTGAAAACATACACTACTGAACACAACTGCAGGCAAAGTTCAAAGTCTAACAAAGCGCGTTTGATCTCAGGCTGTAAAAATCATTTTAAAATCAAAGCGGAGGGAAAACATGAGAGAGAGAGAGAGAGAGAGAGGAGAGCAGAAAGTGTGAGCGAGGGAGCTCAGAGCAGACCGTAAAAACATCTCTTTAAACACGCAGAGCTAATTATTTCCCTCTCAGATCAATGTCCTCTCCTTTAACATTTCAGAAGATAAGACGAATAGAAAAGATAATACACATTTTTAATTAAACAGTGGTTGTCATGGAAATAGTTGTTAAATTATTCAACATCTCTCATGCAGTCCACAGTAAAAACAAAATGGATGGAAGTTTAAACACAATCTTCGTGCCTGTGTTTCATTTGTTTCAAACAAGTGAGTGTGTGCCAGTCTAACAAACCTGAGTTGAGGTCCCGTCCAGGGTTGAACGCTCGGCTGTTGACATTGGGGGAAAGTCTGTCGCAGCAGATGGTCTTAGAGACGTTGGTATTGAAGTTTCCATCAAACCTAAATAAACAAAAAGAGGCAACATTTGAGAAATGTATAGAGCGTGTCCGACTCATTTGTTTACGGAGCAGCTCTAACTATTCTCACGGCAGCAAAAATATTCAGTGCACCAATGCTCTGTTCCTAACAAAACACACAAACTCACAGGTTTGCAAATACCTATATGTTTATGTTAACTTCTTTGACAGAGATCTACATGATTTACACAAACAGTATAGAAATGTACATGAAAACAGGAATCCAATTACATGAAATATCTGTTGAAACAAATAGAACCTGCTTGTTGAGCTGAATTGTATCACTGGCTAGATCAGCTGTTGCCCAGACCCGTATTAAAGTAGGAGTAATTGGCTAGTGAATAATATTGTCCACGGAAAACTACTTAAATGTTGCTTTTCTCCAAGCCAAGCTAATACCCAGTTCCCTGAATACATCTGAATGTGATTGTAGAAAATGCCCACTAAATGTGATGATTCAAATCATCTGTCACAGAACCTCAAACTTCAGACTGAACTGGTTATGTACAACAGGATTTGGGAGAAGATATGTGTCTATTGATTAAAACAGAATTCTTTCTGGGAAAAGCAGGTGAGTTTAGTAGCTTGCTTGCACTGTAGCTGGTTTCTATATTGAGCCCTGTTGTTACAGATGCAGTTGAGTAATGCAGTGTTGTCCTCGAACAAAAACACAAACCTCCAAATGCGTTTAAGAGGTGTCAAAAATTAAACTCATGTTGCCATCAACACATCCTTAACATGTGGATCTTCTGTGAACATCTTTACACATAACTTATCAGATTTCATTGACTAATTTGGGCATGAGCAGTGTTATTTTAAAATCTCTTTCATGTGGTTTCCAGAGCTCTATCTCGGCAGTTAAGAGCTGACAAAGGGTAGGTATGCAGAGGAGCAGACTGTTCTGCACTGCACCAAGCCTGGGTGCTTTGATCCTGCCATCCCTCAAACTACACCCCCCCCCCCCACACACACACACACCATCCTCTGGCTTAACAACATACAGACACACACACATGCACACAAACACACACACACGAGCAACACACTATTTGGCTAGCTCTGCTTGCTTGCAGACCTGGCCTTGGCCCGGTTGGATTGACAGACGCTGTGATGTAAAGGCTGCGTTTGAACTTCACTCATTTGGAGTCCCATAAGGCCGGAGTCATTACTATTCTCCTTCAACCCACTTTGCATAGAAGCAGTGGGCAGGACGCTCAGCACAAATGTGTGCCAGATAAAAAATACATTTGCAGCCGCTTTGAATTCCACATCAAAAACACATGATGAGAATGAGAGAGCGAGCAGAAATGGAGAAATGGGGGGAGTAGGGCTGCGGTTCTGATCAAACATTTTAATGAGGGCATACAAAAAAATAGTTTTGCAAACAGGCTGACACGAGCCTGATGCAAGCATATACACAAGCCTGATGTTATTTACTGCATATACAAAATATAAATCTAAACTCTTTTAACCACGTATATTCCAAACTGAATGCATGGTGATTTAAATAATTAGTCCATTGAATATGCATATTAATAATGTATTGTAGGTATGCTTGCTTGATTACCATACACCACGACCTCCCAGAAGGGGTTGTTCACTACGCAGCCATTAGAAATAATCCTGAGGACAATTCAACAGACACACAGCACCAGCAATTGACCTGTGAAAATCCTTGATGAAAAGTACAATTTATTGATGTTTCTTTATATATCCTCTTTGGTTTAATACAGAATGAACTGAGATATAACTGCAGCATTTCAGAAGAGCCAACATGGGTGTTAAAACAGAAGGATAAACGATTTATTTCAATTTTGGACATACAAAACTTCACACTGGAGAGAACACATAAAGTCCAGCGTCTCATAGCAAACATTGGAACAGGAACCCTCTTCAAGATAAAGCTGCCCCTGCCGTTTCCAGTGGACACTAGCCATCCACTGTTTATGAAATCTATTATAATGAGATGTACCCTGCTGCAAAGAATCTGTATATCCAAAAAGGAGGCAATCATATGCCATTCCAAAAGCCCAGTGTGTTCAATTACCTTAAAGAGTAATGTGCAAGCTCCAACGTCAAGAGTAATACCCTTTCTAATGTGTTCGCAATCCCTCCTTGAATAGCAGCGGTGAATCTAGAAATATAGGAGCTGGAGAATGGAGAGCCATTAAAGAAAGCTCTATGTAAACAGCTTTGAATGGTAATATCAATATGGAGAGTGGATTTTGGAATCCTGGTTGGTTTCCGGCAGCTGCTTTCAGTAAGAGCTCTGGTGTTTTAAAATACTGGCCTCCCTCATGTATGTAAATGGAGATGGGCAAAATATTAGCAACACCATTTAAAAATCATGAAATCTAAAGCGCTTGGGAAAAGCCGCTAAAAGTAAGCGATAGACTTATTTTCCCTCTCTCTTTCTTTTCTTGTGTCCCACTTTGGAGAGATAGATCAGTAAATAGTGGAAATCAATTATCCTCTTTCTTCTTTTGTATAACTGGTACTTACTTAGTCTTTCTTTTGATCCATCATTGAGATAGAAGTAACAAAAGAGAAGAGCGTTTTCTTTTTGTTTGACTGATCCGTGAGCTGAAAGTATTGTGTATTAGAATATATCTTAATACCTGTTAAAGGGTGTACATGGGTTGTTGTTTTTTTAGTTGGAATAGGGCTTATGTTGTTGAAATAACTGCATTAAAACATAACCCAGGAATTGTGTATGACAAGCTGAACCGGTTACCAGTAGGCTATGTCATGGTTTCCATTCGCTACATTGCCTCCTTCATTTAGACTCTCACACTGCTGTGCTGTCCATTCACCTACTAGGGAGAGAGTAAGGGAGGATCAACTAGGATAGTGGGGGTATCATAAAAGACGGATTACAGACTGAGCCAACGGGGCCGGAGCCAAGGGGCTTCTCACAGAGGGCCCCTCAGACCTCAGAGGGTAATCCTTGTACTCAGAGGCCTTTAAATATACCACAATGCAAAACAAGGTAAAAGTGATATCTGTCTTCTCTGGAGAATAATTCCCCTTTGTTGTATCAACTTTTCAAAATCACTTAGGTTATTAGCAACACGATGACTTCAACTGTTTAGATTCAAGTATGTGTTGTTGTGCAAGTATGAAAAAGGCCAGATAGTGGAGACACAAAGTCCTCCTCACTGCTTATGCTGTCCTTGACTATCAATGGAGGAAGGGAGCAAGGACATTCAAAACAAAGGACTGGAAGGAAGGTGAAGAGTAGGGGAGTAAATGAAGAAGGGAAACCGACACTGGAAACAGGACTACATTGAAAGTTTAAGGGAGGAAATCACAGGGGAACAAAGGACAGAGGGAAAGAGGAAGAGCTTGACATTAAGAGAGGCATGTGGAGAGGGAGAAAGAATGATGTACACCTGTTAAGGTCACTTAAACAAACCCTCTCTAAACCTGCCTGGTGTTCTGTCTGATCCTTTTCTAATGAGGTATCAGCGCTATGCTGACTGAGCAACCAGGAGATCAGCTTGATCTGAATTAAGAACTCTGAGAAGCTGCTCAATGGAGCCAAATATACTCTTGATCTGGACTGCAAATCTGCCAAGAACTTAGATGGGGAGAATCCCTCTTAAGAAATTGAAGCTCAGTATTAGCACTATGGTGTCTTTCATCTTTATGTTTAATTTATGAGTGGAGGTATTAGGAATTCTGCAATATCATATCTCATTTGACATTAGGATATTATGTTTTGCATCTGGTGTTCTGTTTAGCAACTCAGATCCAGGCTGATGACCCTGTCAACATGATGACAACAAACCAATATACAACAAGTAAAACAAACTGCAATTACTACATTAAATATTAGCAATTCAGATCTGCTTTGTGATATGAGTAACAGACTGTTGAAAGCTGATACTCCTTGATGCCTTCGCTTTCCATCTAGTGTCATCATTAGCTCATTACCTAAATGCTAAGTCATGGGACAAACATAGCACTTTCAGTGATACTGCTGGTCAAACACTGATGCCTGCAGGCAGCAAGTATAACCCGGACATCTTTGGGGACATCATGCCATGATGTCATTCCCTTTCTCCCTTTCTCATTTTTCAGTGACAGTTGTTTGTTTACCTCTTAAAAGAACTCTTACTTCATCATATGAATAGCATTTTACAAGCACAGTCCATTTGCAGCTTATCTCCTCTACAACGGTTGGTGGAATGTGACTATTAAAATGCCATCTGGGCTGCTCCCAAACACACTTCTCACTTTTACAACTGCATATTAGTGGAACTGTTGAAATGAGCACCTGGAGATGACATGTTAAAAATACAAACATACAGAAACACACTTACGCCAACGCCAGGAGTCACATCATCTTTCTATTTTCAGGTACAGTCTGTCGTTGGGACTGAGCAGTGATTAAAGCATACCACTGGGTGCTAAGCATGGCCTCGGTGGCCTCCCTGTGAAATGATAGCCTGCTAGCTTGACAGCTAACAGACATGGACACTCTGTGAACCACCTGATCCCCCTCTAAACTGGCTGACCTGACTGAGACCCCTAAGCAGCTGATGTCTGATACTAATGAAGGACACTCTGAAACAGACACAAAAGATCTGGAATCCTGTCCCAATAGTGGCATGAATTCCTATACTGTTAATGACTATCAATCGAGATTGGGACTGACGTGCAAGTGACAATCTCTTAGTCTAGACACATTAAGGGAAATTGCTCTTTTGGCATGGTCGGCACCTTAACTCCTAGGCTGCCAAGGCTCTCTGTCGGCCAGTAAATCTGTTGCCCACAGCTGTCTAGTACTTGAACTTAAACTATTTGCTAAATGGGTTTACAATGTAACATTTCAGCCTGACTGAAACTGGGTTTTTGGTGAAATTTTTTGGATTTGTCTGTGACCAGTGCATGTAAATAGCAATGCATTATACAGTTGAAAACAGTTTTATCCTTGGATAAAGTAGCAGCAACACTGTTTCTAAATTATCTTAAAGGTCACATGTCATGGCCATTTCCATTTCCACTGATCATAATTCCATTGTTGAGGTCTACTAGAATAGATTTATACTGTGCAATTTTCCAAACTCACATTGGTTTCGCAAACAGCATCTCTGTAAAGTATGTGTATTCAGCAGTATTCACTCTCTCCACTAAACGGCTCGTTGCAGCTCTTGCCGCCCCCCCCCTCCCTGTGAGCCCAGTGTGCTCCGATTGGTCGGGACCAGTCGGGACGTTGTGAATCGCGCTGAGCTCCGTGGAGGTGTGATTTCCTTGTTTAGCGATACACAGCGAAACACAGCCAAACTCACCCTGAGCACACACAAAGTCACAGCCGAAGTAAAAACAATAAGTGTGGCTTGATATTGAGTAAGAAAAAGGTTGATAAACGCTGTGAGAATGCGTCTGCAGAGAGAATTTCGCCGCGATCCCAACTGTCTGTTATCAGCCTGCAGCCAGGGAGGAGAAATCAGCAGAGCTGCTTGCACTGAGTGTGTGAGGAAGTCCGTGGATTGGTCAATTTGGACCAATCAGCGGGGGCTTAACGTAACGGCTCCGCGGATTGGTCCATTTTGTTCCGGGGACGACATGACATCATGATGTCCCCGGAAGAATCAAATGGACAGTGACGTATCTCCAACGAGGCGTTTTGGGGAGGTATTTTCTGTGTTAGAGTTTTACTCGCTACATGGTGTACTTTGAGGGTTTTGACTCTGCACACCGTTTACATGCATAAAAACCTTCATAACACACAAGGGGACGGGTACTAACCGGAAAAGCATGACATGTCACCTTTAAGTATATATGTGTCCTTTTCTATGTTTTAAATTCTTGCTGCATATCAGAGAGGCATGTATATTTTCAAAAAGGTTCAAATTACGTGTATGGGTCTTCTAATTTATCCTAAGATGGAGGTGGTTTTTCAGCTGCTTCCTGATGCAATAATCTCTTTGAGAGAGCTCATTTATTTTTCATACTGCACGTTGAACTATCCCACTGTGCAGAAAACAATGCATGAGAAAGATCTGCATTCCCTTTTCGATTCTTTGAAGTTCAGGGATCTGTCAGACTCAGCTTCAGTTTGGTATGCCCCCCCAACCCCCCCAACACTACCAACCATGTGACTGCATTTCCATCCAACTTATCTGAGTCTTACATCATCTTTTCTAAGCAATTTCTGCCTTAAATTGTCTCTCAGTAAATCCATGATTTTAGACCTGGGATTAGAGCTAACATGTCAGGACATAAATACAACATGTCTGCGTGTGAACAACTGTTGAATGTATGTACAGTATGTCATGTGCACGATTCGACTACAGGTGGACAGTGGCTCTGAGCCAGGCAGCTTCCACTCTGCACGACTGAAGGGAAGGCAGGTGACCTTGCAGCCTGTGAAGTCTGCAGCGGGAAGACTTCACAGAGCATAACCTGGTCACATCGGCTGATAAAGGGGGGAGAGATAGACAGAAATGGAAAGAGAGGGAGAAAGAGGGGATGAGGGGTAGACAACAGCTGCTGCTCTGTAGATTCAAACTGAAAGCAGCTCTCAGCTTTGAAATGTGTTTTCGCATGCAAGTGGAGTTAGTGATTGGCTGAAAAGCCTACACTGTGGGCTGAGGCAATTTAAAACTCTCTCCCTAGAGGACTTAAATGTGACATTTTCAGGCTCACACCAATATTCATAAATTAAAAAAAGGGTTTTGTTGTGTAGGCAAATTCCATAAGAATATTACCCTGAAATGGATTGCCTTCCTGGGCTCCATGTACCATAAAACATTTTAATGGAGGTACACTGCAGTAAAAAGAGTTACGCAGCAAATGGCATAACTCCTGACTGCTTGAATAGGTTCTGAAAAAAGGGTAGAGTTTAACACACACATGTTTAAACAAGGGAGAGACAGGGAATGGGAAGTGTGTGTGTGTGTGTGTGTGTGTGTGTGTGTGTGTGTGTGTGTGTGTGTGTGTGTGTGTGTGTGTGTGTGTGTGTGTGTGTGTGTGTGTGTGTGTGTGTGTGTGTGTGTGTGTGTGGTCAAAGCTTAGCGTAATGTATAGAGCAGACTGCAGGTGCAACCAGTGGGAGGTGAGTTTACAGACACTGAACAAACCTCCTGCAGAGATTTTTGTTTGAGTGTTATGAGAGAGACAAAGACACAGAAGTGTGTGTGTGCATACGTGTGTGTGCGCGCGTGCGTGCGTGTGTGTGTGTGTGTGTGTTAAAGAGAAAGATACTCACTCCATCATAGATGTGGGTATGGAGCAGCAGTCCTGTATGGCAGTGAGTGGCGAGGTGAGGTGGGCGGTGTACGAGGCCTCCACCACCTGTTTGTTCCGGTTCACCACGTCCAGGTAGCGGTTAAACTTTTCACGGATCTTTTTGGCCAACTGCACACAAAAAAAAAACACAAAAAACAGACAAATTATTAAAAAGACAGCTATAAGAGGTGACAGCTAAATGTACCTCTTACGCTCTTAAAGTCATAAGTACCTAATTAAAACAAAATATCCCTTTTAAATTAGTTAAAAGATTACAACCATCACATTAGCACATTTAGCATTCACAAGTATGCACATGCAGATCCAGTAGTAATAACCGGGATAAAGAATAATTGACAATGATTACAAATAAAAGCTAATTTGTGGTTTGTTTAGCTGTGGTTGCAAGTTGTTGCACAATAATGACCCTGAGGACACAAGAATACAGGAATCAGACACTGCCTTCCTCCTGTGAATTAGGAGTTATTAAATATTGCAGTGAAAAGCGGGATCGTTCAGATAGTGCCTTAAAAAAAGAATTCCCCAAGACTTCTGCAAAGTCTTTTTAAGTATCAGAGTTTGTTTTGTTGGGTATTGGAAAAAAAAATAAGATCAAAAAACACAATCAAAAAAATAGTTTGAAACAATAAATGCATTTATCAAAGTTGAAGTACTGCAGTGTCAGCGAATACTTGCATATGTACATATAAAACAAGTGTTCACAAACACCCCAGGTCAGGACACTCCAATTGAGAGAATTTATATTTATCCTTTCATTTGTTGTTCCCTTAAAGTGGACCTATCATGCTATATTTGAAACATATATTGTAGGGCCATACCTATACAAAGCATGTCTGTGAAGTTTTTTTTTCAAAATACCAAACAGATCGCCCATTGTAGCCATCCCTCATACTGCTCAAACCCCTCTTTTGAAGCCCTGTTAGAGAAACGCAGATCTTGGGTACTTCGCTTGAAAAAAAGAGGAGGCGGAGCTAATGCCTGATCAGAATTCTACCGGAGATAAAGTTAAATTCTGTTGTGATAAAACGCCATCCTGTTTACACCACATCAAAGATTATCTCTGAAACAGTATGGAGCTCAAATGCTTTTTCTCTTGCGGGTTTATCAAAAGGTGAGTTCTTCTTTTATTTCCTGCTTTTTAAAACACATGTGCTCTACACAGTACAGGTTAGCTCTGAGTGTTAGCGAGGCTTGCTAATGTAAACAAAGACGAGACTACGTCCAAAACATGTCAGGCATTGTTTCCGATAGCAACTTTCTGTGGGTCCGCTGCCGATTTGACGTCAGTTCGGATGGAATCTGTATCCTCTCGTTGTACACCCGTTTTTCAAAGATTTGGGTACGGAGGAAAAGAGAGAGGGCTTTATTTTCTGACGCCACGTGAGTTCCCCGACGTACCGGGGACACATATGTATGTATAAAGGACATCACAAAGTGCATTTTGCATGATAGGTCCCCTTTAAGTCGGTTATATGCATATAAATACAGATGAATAAACTGACCTCGATCAACTCTATTTGTCTTTACTGTAACTTATTCACTTCTTACTCATTCAATATGCTTATATTTTTCAATCTCAATGTTATACATTTGCTACTTGCTTCTGAAGTGTATCTCCTCTTTATCTTTTGGCTGCTTTGTTCTTTAGAATCCTTCCTCTCACACTGACGTCTGCTTTTTTTTGTACAGAAAAGGTTACACTGCAAAACAAATCTAACTTGATTGTATTCATGGTTATAGCTTAAAAACAAGAAAACTGAGACTGACATGTGTTTGAACACACACTCAGTCAGTCCTCAACATCCATGCAAACACATGTACACAAACAAGTTCATAAATCCAAATGGAGCTAAGCCATATCAAAGATGCCCAGCACTCAGGCCGCACTAAGTGTGAAATCCATCACTGTTAAAAGCCAAGCAGAAAGATGGATGTGTGAGAATAAAAACATTTCTTTTTTGTAGTAACCTTGCAATCCACATTTAAAATACACTATCAACGATTTGTCTTAAAAAAACACTCTCCTTTTCAAACAGAAAATGTGTGTAATTTACCTTTTATAAGCATGAAAACAAGGAGACAGGAAGGAGGGAATAGTGGTTCGAGACAAAGGCAAAACGGCTAATTTAGTCCGTGTTTACTGGGGCCCTAATGAAGGCCCCTGGACAGGCATACATTATGCTTTGTCTTTCTTCCTCTGAAAGACAGGGTTCTGGTTGAGCAAACATCTCACAGGGCTCTTTTTATGGGGTTCCAGCTCCTTTGGGGGAAATAATGACCAGCTCTACAGTCGCCTCCTGGGGGACATGAATAACCAGCTCACCACCTCTTTACACCAAGGTTCCTGTTCTTTCTTTCTTTTGCCATGAAAGGATTTGTGAGCAATACACGCATGTAATCTGTTACAGATTGTTCACTTCATTTGAAAGCTTTAACATGTTCTATTAGTTTACTAAAGATATGTTAAACTACTAATCACTAGTATGAAGAAGTGACTTTGGGATTAGGCTACCCTGTCTTTACATTGTATTATATTTTTTAGCAACTTTGAGTGATTTGGAGAACGTTTGGTACGGTTAGGTTAGGCATAATTCCCTGGTTTTCTTTTTACATTTCACATTTAAATTGAATTATGTGGGGTCCACCTACTTCTAGAGAACTCAAGAATGATTAAACGGTGCACCCTGAGCTGAATTTCGAGAATTGTCAGAATACAATAAATGTGAAAGCGTTCTTAATTTGATTGTTCAGTTTGTTTGAAAGGTTTACATTAGGAGGGATGTGTGCATTGATTGCAAAAGTCATGCAAAAAAAGTTAAAATGACTTCAAGAAAAATGGCAGTGCTCTGAATTCTTTCCTAAGCCATTGTAAGTTACCTTCCCAGCCTTGTTGGATACAGAGAAATGCTTATTTCCACAGTAACTGGAGCCCCTTTGTTCACATCCCATAATTGCAAAAGGCTGCGATTCAAGCCAGGAAAAAGGAAATGTAACGCGACCCACTGACCGCTTGTACACCTAATCAGTATTCTTATTACGGGTTTAACAGGGCCTATGGCACAGCCCACAATTACTACTATTCTACCACACACACACACACACACACACACACACACACACACACACACACACACACACACACACACACACACACACACACACACACACACACACACACACACACACACACACACACACACACACACACACACACACACACACACACACACACACACACACACACACACACACACACACACACACACACACACACACACACACACACACACACACACACACACACACACACACACACACACACACACACACACACACACACACACACACACACACACACACACACACACACACACACACACACACAAATGTGCGCTCTCACACATAGATAGACATAAAGTTAAATACACACACGTGGTTCTCCCCCACTCACAGTAATGTCCGTGCATGGTAATTAGCTGCAGTGAATTTTGCATTAAAAGGGAGAAAATAGGCCAGTGTTCAGCTGGGGAGTGTTTCCATAGCTGGGGGGGAGAGGGAGAAAGTAACACCCCACTTTAACAGAGTGACTTAAGAGAAACCAGAAACTCTGAGCTGTGCAAGTTGAAGCTTATGTTACAGTCTGCCACGGTGCAGCCAAAGAAAACCTGCGCTCTGCAGATTAACCACACTCTTCCAAAACACAGGTTCCTCTCTCCGACCCTTCTGACCAGCTTTCAGGGCGAACAGCACCCAGTGGGGTCGGTGCAGCCGCAGAGCTGGAGTGAATGGAGTGGGTGCACCCTGACGTCTTGTGTTGGGAGCTTTGAGGTTTGCCAGACGGCCTTCCACCACAGTAACTGGCAGTGGTGTTTACGGCAAGACAAGTGCTTTACTTTCAATAATGGTTTATGGGATGAGTGTTACAGGAAGAGGCACTAGATTTCTGCAAAATGAAGAAACTGTACAGGATCATCGATTAATTTAGAATAAGTCCATTAGTCTGCTTCCTCAAATAGGTTTACAAAGCTTCATTATAACAGTTTTACTGTCAGAAAAGTTTGTTAAACCTCCACACTGCTGACTTTCTTCACTTCAGTGATGCTGATGCAAGTACTTTGCATGATATACCAATGAATGAATACATTTACCAGTTTCTAAAATGATGTATTACCGGACGCTCCTATTTTGTGGAACAAACTACAAATATAGTTACAAAAGGTTCAATTATAACAGCTAAATACGACAAACTGTGTATGCGATATCAGGCTAATGCTGAGCATTTGTTTTAATAAACTTCTTTATGGCAGACAAAAAATGATATACATGTGGTCTCTTAAGCCTATGACAGATATCCTAAAAGCAAGAGTAAATGTAGTCAAGAGATAAAAGGGTGAACACAACATGTAGCAGACTAGACCTGACAACCAAAAGCAGGAAACACTCAAAATCTCATTCCTCACTTGAATGAAACAATTTGTGGTTGTCCTTTTCCTGCCGTTTCCTAAATGTCACCTTGTGAAGACTACATCTATTCTGAGTTGCCGTAACAATGAAGCAGTTTAAGGAGCTGACACTGTAAAGCACTCAAAAACCACTCCGGACTAAAACCACCAGACTCAGGGACAGTTTCATCCCACGGCAATAAGACTGTTAAACACCTGAACTGTTGAAACAACATCCACAATATTCATCTGGCTGCTACTTACAAATTATTAATCTATTTACCTAATATATCATATTTCAATGACTTGCATATGGACTCTTATTGCACTATTTCAAACTATTTTTCTTCTTGTATTTACTATTTACTTGCACTATATTTTTCTGTTTATCTGTGTTTTGTGTTGCTCTGTTGGAGAAGCCTGTGACACAAGATTTTCATCTACATAACTACACTGTAGCTATGTTCGTTTGACAAATAAAGAACCTTGAACCTTGAATCCCAGCACACATTCACCACCTAACATGGGTAACAACATTTGTTGAAATGGGTCTTTTCAGCATTAAGTGTGTCCCTAAAATGTGTTATTAAGTTACTACTTACTCTTGGATATATGTAATGCCCCTACAATTCCTTTCCAATGGTTTGAGATTATATAGATTTTAATATCATATTAGTAGGTCAATCCCAAGGCAAGCTCAGTATTTGCCTATTTGGTTCCAATCAAGGATATTTTTTGTTATGGATTGCATCTGCTATACAAGCCTGATCTACAGTATATTCAATTATTTTGGTAATTCATAGCACTCTATTCTATAACTCTGTTAAGAGAACCTTATGCTTAGAAAGAGCATTGCATGGGAATGATGGACCAGCATGAAAACATTAGAAGCCTGCACTCTTTATAATATTCACTCTAACAGCAGATCTCACTGAGTATACCAATAGACTTATAGAATAGACAGGAAACCACTCAATGACAGAGTGATGGAGAGGGAGGCATCATAACATTAACCATGGACAGATGTCTGCATGTCGCTCGGAATAATGCATTTCTAGATAAGAAACCCATATTAGGGGCCAGTGCCTCCTCTCTGGAGCTCCTTGCCCTCTCTCCCTCCTCTGCAGACCCACTCCTAATTGGGCTTCACTTTGGCACATGGACACAGCCCCTGTGCCCAGAGACAACCCGCAAGAAAACTAAGCCAGGGCTGTCATCTGAATGAGTTGGCGTCTGACACAGAGGGGTTGCAGCCAGAATGCATGGACCCCATGAGCTGTTAAACTATTCCAACAAGGACATAAAGTCAGTGCTGCCCTGGGACTGGTGCTCATTAACATACACCAAAACAATGTGTAGTCAGTTCAAAACTCAAGACTCAGTATTGTAGCTGAGGTTTCTGTGAAAGGAAATGCTTCTAGAACTATGGCATGTGCAACAAACGTATGTGAGCAGCGGTGAGCGTCTGTTGCGCTAGTTTTTGCAATGTTTACAGCACAGTTGGCTGGCTGGCTGTGGTTGGCCTTGCTAGGGAAAGTCCACACACACAAAGGCTAATTTCATTTCTTCTTTTTCATCTGGTCTCAAACGTCCAATACAAGTATACTTTCCCATGGCCATAGCCATCTTAAATAAGGCCAAGTGGTGAGCCATTGAGAAAGGTCAGTAAACGCTGCTTTAAAAAAATGTATGAAACATTTTTGCAAATAGGGACCATGCAACAGTCTGCCCTCGTCTGAGCTTTTTTCTTTGAGTCAGTTACTGTGGCTGGGACTTGAGAGACTGGACAACACTTTATAATTAGGAAGACCCTTGGGTTTGTATGAAAACTATGTTTGTGATAGCTAGCAAGAACCATCTACGTCTCTATTGAGAAGAACAAAGATCAAGGCCTTAAGGCCAGATTGAAGCTGCCTCTGGAACAGCAAGTAGCTGCAAGGTGAGATATATTATACATTTCACACACATGCACCAACGTGAAAGGATATGCTAATGCTCACACAGATACAGAGGAAATGCAAACAAACATCCAGCTGTCTGTTCTTGCTGGTGGCTGTTTACCAGTTTTGTGTTTACTGTCACTCCTCCAAGATCCCTGACGCATGAGTACACACCACACACACACACACACACACACACACACACACACACACACACACACACACACACACACACCACACACACCACACACACCACACACACACACACACACACACACACACACACACACACACACACACACACACACACACACACACACACACACACACACACACACACACACACACACACACAGCACACACATCACACACACACACACACACACACACACACACACACACACACACACACACACACACACACACACACACACACACACACACACACACACACACACACACACACACACACACAACACACACACACACACACACACACACACACACACACACACACACACACACACACACACACAATGTCTGCATACACAATCATCTGTGACTTGGCGTTGGCCAACAGAAATTCTGAGCATTGTTTTTCCAATCTGGAACAACAAATCTAAGATGAATTTTGACTTGTGGATTGAAGGTCATCAAAAAGTTGCCATTATCTCGTTAAAGGCTTCTTATTCTGTTTCTCTGCAGCTCTGCACTCATATTGGGAGCAGAGGGAGGGAGAAATAGAGCACAAAGACAAGTAGAATAACAGACAGAGAACTTCAAAGCCAATGAGACAGCAGCCGCAGAATTTTAATAAACCCCATTTTTACTTACTGATGGCGAGTGTATGTGTGAGAGTGAGTGTTTTTGTTCATTGCTGCTGAAGATCACAAACAGACACCATCCATGGTACATGCATGCACACACAGTAGTACACACACACACAAAAACACACACACACACACACACACACACACACACACACACACACACACACACACACACACACACACACACACACACACACACACACACACACACACACACACACACACACACACACACACACACACACACACACACACACACACACACACACACACACACACACACACACACACACACACACACACACACACACACACACACACACACACACACACAGAGGAGAGGGAAAGCCTTTGTAACTCACCTGCTGCACTTCCGTCTCTCCGTTTGAAGTCTTCTCAGTGTACACAAACGAGTTGAAAATCCTCTGTAGGGAGACGGAGAGAGAGAAGAAGAGACGCTGAGGTTAGATAAGGAGGAATGCAGAAGATCTGGCTCAATAATGGGAAACCATCTCCTGAGGAAGAATATTGGCAGGGTTTCCTTATAGTGATATATTTTTCTACCAGGTGTTGCTGAGCAGAAACCCTTTGTTATTAACACTCAAGGAATACATTCGAAAGTATTTTCCCTGTTGGAATTTACAAACTATTGCATTATGTGAAAAGGCAAACAATATGTTCAAGCACTCCCGGCTCTTTATGTTCGGTGGCATGACTGCGGTTTCAAAGAAATCCAGTCAGACCAGGAGTGTTTGTGGCTGCGTGCCATATATGCCAATTAATCAGACCGGCTATAATGAAGCTGCCGCCAGGAATTTGTATTAAATTTGGGTGCAGACCAAAATGTGTCAAGATTCATGATTATCACAAGGCTTCAGATTCTTTCATTAACTTGTATTCTCTATTTTGATGGGGCTTTATTTAAAGTGGACCTATCATGCTATATTTGAATAATATATTGTAGGGCCATACCTATATAAAACATGTCTGTGAAGTTTTTTTTTCAAAATACCTAACAGATCATGCATTTTAGCCATGCCTCATTTCGCTCTATTTGCTCTTTTCCAGCCCTGTTTTTGCAAGGGCTGATTCTGTGGCAAATGAGCTGCAGCTGAACTCGCCCCCCCCTGCAAAGGAGGGGGGCGAGGCACGAGCGTCATGTTACCATGCCACGGCAACCTCTCATTCCCCTGATTGGTGGAGAGTTGCCCATATAGGCGGAGCTACTTGTTTCTGACGTCAGAGATATTTCAAATCTGTATCAGTCTGTATCAGATCCGTTGCAGCCCCGTTTTTAGAGATTTGGGTATGGAGGAAAAGAGAGAGGGTTGTGTTTTCTGACACTTGGTGAGTTCCCTGACACACCGGGGAGACATATTCATGTATAAAAGACGTACAAAAGTGCATTTTGCATGATAGGTCCCCTTTAAGGCCATCACTGTAAAGCAACCACTTGACATACACACATGTATATGATACACTTGTTTTTTTAAAGAAATAGGAGACTTTGCAGAGAAATAAACATGTTTATGCATCAAGTAAATAGTTTGATACCCTTTCATGGCTGTTAAAAATCCATTAGAATAAACTGCCAACAGACACGGAAACAACACTGTTGTGTAACCAACCCTTTGCCTATCACACCTGATCAATTTCTTCTAGGTTAATGTGATCTGGCACAGATAAAGTTATTTTGACAAGTAAATGATGGATTTACCCTTGATTGCACTAATTGCATTTACGTGTGCCTTGTTATACAATGGTTTAACATGGCACTACATGATGTCAAACGCAACTTGATTAAAAGGGACGTTTTTTATGCGGTAGGCTAAATACCTTCAGGAATCTGCAACAAGTCGAGCTGGTTTTACTAAACTAGCTCCGTTATTCAATGGAGGAAATTCATTATAACTTGCTTCATAAACTCTGCCTAATGTAAATTTGCAAAAACGAACATGAATGATAAACCTGGATTTCTTCCAAAACAAGCAACATATAGATGCAGACAGAAGGGTTCTGTCATTTGCATCAATTTCTAGGACTGGAGGAAAATGCGTCACCTGTCTGAATGTTGAGTACCTAATCACAAAGTAATGTAACATTTCTATATTCAACTTCCAGACAGAAATATTTTAATAGTCCCTGACTATATTGTAAAGTGAATAGGAAGTGGAGTGCTACATTAGGGCATGGAGAAAATGAGTCCTGGTGTGACCTCAGCCATTACACACACAAAGAGAGCTCCAGAAACACATTTCAAGAGCTGCCTGAATAACACACACACAGCTTGTTTCAGATGGTCCCCTGAGTCCCATCAGCTAAACATTTTCCCTCTTTCTTTTACTTCCTAACTCCCTTTCCAAACACAGCAAGCAGAACTGTGTGGCAGCTACCAACAGAGTAAAACTAATGTTTGTGTTCAGGCAGCAGGTAGGCAGATGTTTCACTGTAAGTCGCCCCACTGCTCACAAAGCCTTCAATTGCATAGTTCCACACAGCCACTATTTCCTGTCCACACTTTTTGTTAGACACATTCCACAGAACACCAATATATTCCCATAATGCATCCATACAACCTGGAGGTGATTGACTAGCCGTTGGTACCTTCTAACAGATCTACATTTCAGCAGTACAAAACATAGTTTCTCTGTTTCATACAGCTTAAGGGCAAGGTTGGAAGTTCCTTCAATATATATAAGCCTCCTTCACAGAACCTAATTTATACAAGGCTTCTTAATCAAATAAATACCTTACTATTTTTGCAAAGAAATCAAGCTTAATACCACCATATAGAAAGTATAGCCATTACTAAATTGTATTTAAAACATCAGCCAATAATGACACAAAAGAAGTTGGGATTTATATTTTCCAGAATACCAGCCACAGAGATCATGAGGTTACTATAAGGAAGAAAGAACCAGCACAGATTTAAGAAGCTTAAACCAGACCATGTTTACAATTGTTGCTTAGAAATGTAAACCATTTATCAAAAAAGTTGCCTCTCAAGCAAAACCACACAGAGAAACAAAAATGCAAATACATACATGCTACAATGCAAAATCTTCGTAATGCCCTCATCTGGGCCATAATTAGACTATTCAGTTAACGCTCTTGCAGATTAGGAATCAAATGTAATTTGGAAAAATGTAATTATGTCTAATGTAAACAAAACACAGAGCTAATTGTTTTAATCCTGATCGTCTGAATGGAGTCAGCAGTTGTTTGGGAACATATTCCTTTCATTTAACAGAAGCATGAGACTCACTGAGAAGTGCTATTCTGACAGTGTATTGACACAGACACACACAAACAAAAACACATACACACTGCTACATATTTTACTTCCAAATCATTCAAAAAGTGCAAAACCAAGCCCAGCAGTTTAGTGTTCCACCCCCTTCTTAGCAGAAAAAAGAAGGTCCAAAGCTGTAGAGCCGTCAAATAAACGCGGACAAACACACACAAACAGAGCTGCCACTGCTTAGCAGGAGTCATGTGCTCTCAAAACACTAAGAAAAATGACGAAAATGGGGAGGGAGATAGGCTCAGGAATGGAAAAAGACACTTTGTTTCCATTTAGCCAGCGATTATGAAAATGGGCAACAAACCCAGACGAGAGAGAAAACTCCTGTTGTTGATTAGCCACAGGTTAGCTGTCTTTCCCCCAGTGCCTCGGGTGTTTGTTGTTGGAGCTGCTTTGCGGTTTTCACAGCTATGGAGCAGCCGGGGAGGAATGCTCAGCTCTGAAACCCGAGAGGCCTGAGGCTGCCTGGGCCACCGTGAGCCCGTGGCCTCCCCTGACCCATAATCAAACACCCAAATGTTCACAGACACATTCACACCAGAAGAGAGATACACAGAGAGAAGCGCACGGCATCAGGGGTACACACCTGGTAGCTATAGCAACCTCCAGATAGTGCTTGGCAGAACAGACACAATAAAGTCTTACTATTGGTGTAAGACTATGTTTTCAAATAATCAACAGGTAATGTAGCAGGATGTGCTGCCATAGCAGGGGAAAATACTAAAGTATAGTAATCATGGAAGTAAGCAATACTGAATTATAAATAAATAAAATCAGCTTTGCTTGTGTTTTGTGAGGGAGGAAATAGTCAACGTGTTGGTTAGACCTCAAGGATACACACAATGCCTTTTGGTGATTCACTCAATGTAAACTAAACTATTGCTTATGTACAATAAATCTCCACAGGGCCCCTTTAAAATAAAATATTTAACTGGACCAAAATCCAAGCAGCTTTCTCAACATTAAGCTCACCAGAAATTCATTCAAACTGCTCAAAGTCCATTGATCAAAGAGCAACAGCCCTTGTCTCATTAGGCCACTTTTTAAATCCATCCACCTTGAGGTTAATCCTGAGCACAGGCGAGTGGTTCACATGAATGACTGAACCTCAGTCAAAGCTCAAACTCCGATAAATACCAGAACCTGTGTTTTGTTCTGGTACACAGTAGTATTAGTTGTAGCAGTGGAATTTGGTTGCAAAATAACTGACTTATCGTTTGATCCCTTCCAAAGATTATAACTTAACTTGGCACCCTTTCAATTAAAGTAAAATAGGAGGTTTAAGATTGAGCAGAATTACATAAACCATTGCTGTTTCGGGTCCCACTTAAAAAACAAACCTTAGAATTTAGTTTCGGTTTTTTGGCACTCTGTTGTATCAGCTACAGCATGGGAACCCACCAGATATATAGACATATATATATATATATATATACACAGCATTCATTTAATTGGGCCTGCCCCTCCAGCTCTTCTGCAAAGCTCTCCTAGGAGATTCTATAAACTACCCCAAGAGGCTCTTCTCCTTTTAAAGAGACTCTTCTGTTCTGAGTGAGGCAGAGAATAAAATCCAGGCACATGACTGACAATCCCAGACTAAAGACGAAGAGACTTCAAGAGCCACTTGTGAATGTTTTTAGGGGAAGGGAATGGAGAAACAGGCACAGAGATACGGGGTAACAGAGAGGAAGAGCAGGGGGAATGGAGCAGACTGTGGAGAGGCAATGGCAAGAGAGAGCAAAGAGGAGGAAAGAAAAGCAAAAAGAGAGGAAGAAGAGGCCAACTGCATTGGCAGCGTTGGGAACACACCTATTGGCAATTCCCCCATCTTCAAAGAGCAGAGAGGAGCAGTCAGCCACACTAATTTGGAATTGGACTAGATGACATGTACACACGAAAACATACACACAACCACACACACCCAATTAATCCTGGCTTTAGGGCTTGTTGATTTTTGGTACACGGTTTATCTGTGAACACACTGGAGGGCAGAAAACAGCAGCATGGTCACACCTCAAATACGTGTGAGCAAGTCAAAGTAACTGTGCCAATGTGACTGTGAATGCTGGCTACGCACAGGCCCAGGCCCATGTATGTGAAGCTCATCGACGCCTTATCCGT